TGATCGTTATTTAAACATTGTTGAACTGCTTCAAGTAGTCATTGAATCCCTCATAACAATTATAGTGTATCACTTGAAATCCAAAATCTCTTCAATTTGATATTAAATCGACAAATATTGGCATGTAATCAGACAACGTATAGATAGGCAAAAATTTTGATTTGATAAGTGAAGAAACAGTTCTGCAGTAAAGACTTGTGGGAATTTAAGGGATTTTTATTAATTTTCAAGAAGGAACATTTAGATCATGCTTTAATAAAGTCAACTGTATATGAAAAAAGAAACATGTGACAAAATTCTTTTTAAGAATTTGAGGTATACCTGTTGAATTTACAATCCTACTATATACCATTGGCTTATACATTTCAAACTTATACTTTGCATTTACATGTATAAATCAGCAAGTGTCCATTTAGTTTTAAGATAATCTCCAAACTAATGTTTGATCAGACCATGAATTGTACATGACCAGGATGTTGGGCAATGGTACAACAGGTTAAACTGAGAGCTTCAAGTCATCTGAATAATCCTCATCCCTGCCAAGATCCTTTAAACATTTCATAAATATAAATAACTGTGCAGAGACATTGACTCGTTTGATCTTTTGATTTTAAGAATACGTTGATGAATTTTAGCAAGAGTGTTATTTGAAGTTCAATTACCAGTCCCTGTGAACTAGAACTGACAATGCATTGCTTGCAACTTATCTAATTTACTTTAGATTTCACAAAATTTGAAATTTTTATTTAGGTTTGCCTTGAGTATAATAAGTAAAAAATAATCAAGATTCATCTCTAGGTAAACTTGATATTTTCCTTTTTTACCTTTATATAATATCTCATGAATAAATAAAAAAGAAAAAAAAATATCTGTATAATTTAAAAACTGATACCTTATCAAAACCAAATCCCTCAAACAGATATACAATAACCTTTTGGTCACAATTACATTTCACTGTCTGGAAACAACCTAAATCAAGTTTTTCAAAATGTCATTAAACAAGTCTATTGATTCACTGACAGACACTCCAGACATACTGAATTGCTACTATGGGTAACCTCAAGTGCCACTTGCAATTTAATTGAATACAAAACAAAACATTGGACCGACTTCAAAGATGAATATAAATGGTAATTCATTCATTTGCCTATTGCCAATTACTGTTGCCGATTGCCAATTATTGTTATCTGGATTTTGATTTATTTCTGCGTGTATTCAGTACGATATCTGAAACTGCAGAACTAACAAAAGAAGGTATAAATGTATGTTTGTACGACTAAACAATGCCTGTTTATAATGCCGCCTAGAAAACAGAAGAATGATTGAAATATTGTATATTTCTGACTTACAAGTGACCCCCTTATCTAGACATAGGAAATTTATTACTTAAATAACTCGTATATTAATGAGTTTAAAACCTATATTGCCATTGTATGCAGATTTTCTACTGTTATATACTTGTTCTAACTGTGAATAGTAATGATGTATAAGTATTAACATTTAAAGATCAATTAGCATGTACATGATATTCCCTGAGCAAATTTAGTAACTTATTGTCAAAGTCAATATACTGGCATTAATAAACATGAATGAAGCAATAATTACTTGCAATGTTTTCTCAATGTATGATAAGATTTATGTTCTGAGTTGCATAAAGCTGTATAATTTCCAGTATTCAGCCCAATTTTAGGTCATTACTGCATAGTCATTATCATTTTTTACCTAGTTGGGTTTTCTTGTGGTTTATTTTGTTTTTTATTTGTTGTTGTTGTTGTTGTTGATAAAATATAGGCCAAGACCTTTAGACCAAGTACAAGAAGTTGTTTTAATGTTTCTGATGTCATGACAAAGATGAACACTAGTAAAAATATTCAACATTGAAGCACAAACATTTTTGTAAACAAAATATAACAATCTGATTAAATTCTGCTCCAAAATAATGCTACACTTAAAATTAAAACATAATATAAATCTTAACATTATTCATATATTATTATGTTCAGTCCAGCCTTAAAATAATCCTTGTTTCCCTTTTTAAAACCAAATGCCATTAATTTTATTGAGTAGGGATCATGGTAGGTAGGTGAAAAAACAATCTACAATATCTTATTTTATTGAATATATTAAATAAAAGCAGTGAATTTTATGGATCTCAAAAAATTGTGAATACTTAGCATCTGTTTAAACTAAAAAGTTTAAGAAGTTTAGAACCAAAATTTCATATTGATAAACATCATAATTAGATAATTTTATCACATTTTATATGAATACTGACTTAAAATGCAACCATTATTATTTATTTCATTTTTCTTTTTTAAAAAGAAAATTTCACCAGAGGGTGAAGGAACACCTTTTTCAGGGTGAAATAGTGCCCATTTTTTTAACTTACCCATTGGAATCAAACAATTTTAGAGCTGATTAAACTGCTATTAAAATGGGCCTACATTAAGATCAAATAATAGTAAATCTGTATGTATTTTAACCTAATAAATATATGAGCCGCGTCATGACAAAACCAACGTAATGCGTTTGCGACCAGCATGGATCCAGACCAGCCTGCGCATTCGCGCAGTCTGATCAGGATCCATGCTGTTCGCTTACAAACCCTATTACAAGTAGAGAAACTGATAGCAAACAGCATGGATCCTGATCAAACTGCGCAGATGCGCAGGCTGGTCTGGATCCATGCTGGTCGCAAACCCACTGTGTTGGTTTTGTCATGAGGTGGCTCACATAAATCTAGAGGGATTATTACAGATCTTCTCAATGATCTTGCTCAAATGTCTCAGTTGGGATCAAGATCTAGCATAAACCATCACCTTTCGCTTTCATTCTTTTATTTGATTTTGGATAATTATATTTTGATCATTTTTATAAACTCTGAAAGTGTAAATCTTAGAGAAATGAATATCCTTTCTCAAATAAAGGTTGAAGCTATAATCTTCTAAACAAATGATTACTACAGGTTTTGTTTCCTTGCATGGACTTGTATAAAGTTTAAGACTTATTATTAATATTATAATATTAATACAATCATTTATGGACAAATGCTGGTTTTTATATACAGTCATGTTACACAGTCAAGGACCTAACTTAAATTTGATAAAGTAAGATATTAAGTAACATAAATAATGGCAATTTGAAATCATGGATTTTCCTTCAATATTTATTTTCAAAACATTTCGGCACACTTTTTAAATCAAGCAAATATTTTACACCTTAAGTGGGCAATTATCTTTGTTACCAGTAAATATTTTCAACAAAAAAAAATTGCATTGGAGAGCTTTGAACTTAGCAATAATTCTTTGACATAGTTTTTGTTTTTTTGTCATTCACTCGAACATAAATACAACATTAGCGAGGTCTTTGTAAGAAATGCATTGTTTAGTAAATACCAGTATTTCTTAATTAACACTAATATCGCCATGCAAGACTGACTGTGAATGTGGCGTCAGGTAGACACAACAATATTCCACTGCTTTTTTACCTTAACATGAGACTTTTTGTAACACTTAAAATGTAACGGGATACACTTATCAATATACTTGTTAAAAAATGCCACCGTCTGAGAGATATAACTACCCCTTAAATTAACTAATGGATGTGACCAGCTTTCAATCTGGAGCAGTCCATTCAAAGTTTAAGGGATTTCACAATCAAGTTACAACAATTGGCCTACAGGTACTGCAAGTTAATTATGGTCTAGAAAGAACAAATTTATAGGTATATATGTAGTTAATGGCTACAAAATTATTAGTATTTGTATTTTAAATACAGTGCTATTTAAAGTTTATTCCTGTTAAGAAAATCAACATAAGAAAAAATATGAAACTGTCCTGTTCAAACTGACATACATTTTATATATTATACATGGTCCTGTTTTATTGATAATAAAACTCATATGATACTATGCCCTGTTCAAATTCATTATATACAGTCCTGTTGCAACTTTTCATCTATACTGCCCATTGTATCAAAAAGTTAAAAACAAAAATCATTAATTAATTGTTTATGAAAAAAATATTTAAAATTTATAAGAATATTTAAAATTTATAAGTATTATAATTTTACAAAATATTTAAAATTTATAAGTTTTATAACTTATATTATAAATTATAATATAATCAATTATATTTACTATGATCAATTTATGATTTAAAATAGATTTCAATTTGTTATAAGCAATAATAAACATTGTCAGTGCTTATGAATGGCAAGCAGGCCTGGTTGATTAAATACCTTAAAGTCTACAGTTAAACAACTTGTTCACTGGCATCTGATTTTCTTCATTTCTTCAAATAAGTTTTGATATCTGATTTATTTATCCTATACATGTATTGTTTAATATTTTTACCTATTGATATACCACATCTTGACAAAGGGATTAAGAGATATTTTAAATGGATAATCTGTTTATAAAATACAATGCAGCTCCAATCAGAAAACTGGTCTCTTTTTCTATTTGAAAGATTCTAGCTATAGATAAATTGGATAATATTACTTGATATTTAAGAGAAAAAATGACAAGCTCACTGTAGATCTAAACTATATAAAATTATCTACATTCATATAAAAAAAACAACATTTTATTCAACTCTTATCTTATTATAAATCTAAAAAGGTTAGCTATAAAAAAAAGGTTCTATATTATTTACAGGTTGTTGATAAGATCTTGTTAATTTTTATAATTGCTGACTTGATTAAACATTATCGATAGTTATCTAATTAAACCTGGGATTATGTATCCAAGATCAATTTGAATTGATCTTTAATACACTAATCATAAAGCTAAAAATGCCTTGTTTGCTATAAAATATCAAGAAAAAAATGTTGTTTTTTTCTTTTTTGTTTTGTGATTTAAGAAAATTCGCAAATGTGGATCCTGACTTTAACTTATTTTAGTATTATTTTAGTATCGCTTCTCGGCCTAGGTTCCTTTGAAATTAACATACTATTTTTCGTTGGTTTTTTATATATTATTTAAACAGAGATCCACTTACTCTTTTGGATGAAGTAATGTAAGTCTCTTTTGCAGACCACGGTGGTTTTCCCATCTGCATCGTAGTTTGATGCATCGGGCGCATGCCGCGTATTCGACCTGCATTATTTGGCGCAGATTGAGCCCTCAATTGTCTGTCTACATATGAATAGTGTGATATAACAGGATAGTAGCATCCTCCGTCTGTCAATAATGTTACAGCTCTCTTCCCTTGACCATTACCAATCGTCACTTGCCCTGGAGTTTTTGTTAACATTTTCGCTTAAAAGCACGATTAAAATCCAATTAAATTTACAAAACACACTAATTACATGTTTGATTGCGCTTTAAAGCTATCCTGCCATGCTGTCAACAATAAACATACAGCGATCCGATAAATCGGCTCGTCAAATCGATTATAAAAATAGATCTACTTCTTTTCAATAGAGAACGTGGTCGATGTAGACAGAGACCAAATCACGTACGCCGACGCTACTTGCGCAGACTTCCTGGTTACCGTTGCCAGCAAATAGTTCGGAAAACTTTACGTTGTAATTCAGAATTTTTTAGATTTATTGTGTTAAGTATGATACCTTTGATAAATTAAATTTGTTTTTTATCCGTATTTTATACTTATTGTAAGTTAATATAGTCGACTATCAAGTTTTGTAAATCTTATTCAATCGTTCGCGTAGTGATTTATTGTCGCGTGCTAAAGACTTGAAATTGTTAATTTCGCGCCAAAAAGGGAATGCGTACTTTTGGATTATGAAATTGCAGCTTGATTACTTTGGTATGACTTTTATTTTCGTCCTTAACAGGTAAAAAATATCGCAATGAAGCATATTCTTGATTTCTTAGCTTCGTTTTAAAAAATTATTTCGTCTGCAACTGAAGTATAAATAAATTTATAGTAAAACTGCACGATAAAATCTAGCTTTACTTAGGTCTTCTCGACCTCCACAGGCTCTACATATTTAAACTAGAAATATGTCCATGGGTGCCCCCTATACAAGTATGAAAAGTATTTCTTAAAAATTTTCGCTTTCAGCCACGAATTTATATAAAGCCCTAGATCTACAGGTCCCATATGAGTCAACTTAACAAAATGTTGGACAAGCCAAGGCCATTAAAACAAAAAATACAGTCCTTTCAAATCGCAACCCCACGAGACATATTCCTAAGAATATGAACGATACCTGGCCACCATTTCGACAAATATAGTTCTATGAGCCAACTTCATTTTATCTGCGAAGAGTGATATAGATGGAGTCAAGACCCCCTTTGACTAAAGCTACCCTCAATAAAAAGGGGAAAAAATTAATAAAATTGACCTGTTCTTTTTCATTTGCTTAATCTTACTATATGCTTTAATGTATTTAATATTTCACCAGTTTGGGATATTCTCATTATTAGTATTATACAAAATTGAAAAAGAAACCGATGTTTGGCTAAAATTTCATTCCAAATTCGCCTGTAAAAACCTGGAAAGAATGCTCGTGCATGTCGGTCGTGCATACGGAAAATATGTGTCAGGTATCAGTCCGAGTTGCATAATCTTATCAGTCAGTCAAGCTCATCCGAAAGATATGACCATTTATTTTTCTCCATGATGCATATAATGGTCTCATTGGCCTCCCGTGCATCAAAATTGTATCATCACAAAAATCGACTTGCATACATATTTAGTATCATTCAGTGAATTACTGAATTCAAAATTTATAGGTCACCTTTTAGTTGATAATAACATTTAAGGACAAGAATGGTGGCATGTCCGGGGTCCGTACTATCAGTGCCTCAAAGGGCGGATGGGCCATCATTAAGCCTAGAATACATAAAAATCCATAAATAAATAAATGTTTTGATCTATATATTTAACTTTATGCCTGAATTTTCAGTGATATTTGGGTATTTACAATTGATATTTACAATTCAATTAAAGTTCTTCATTTGTTACATTTAAATTGTTCTTTTTATAAAATGAAGTTTTTTTCCCTGATTAAAAATTAAAGTAAACAATATGAAACAATCTTGAGCTAGGTACTAATATTACCAGTATTTTAATCAGATATATGAAGCATTACTGTAAGATGCCATTTTTAGAAGGAAGATTAATTAAATTGGCATTCTGACGAGTGTGTCAATCCAAGCAAGATGGCCATTATGGCTGTAAGCCAGGCTGTTTGATCTTATTTTCCCCAAGGAAAACATTTTAAATAAGTTTGAATAAAATCTGCCCACATTTGTGTGTTTTCCTTACACCTGACATACTTTTTACCCATAAAGAACTCGTGAAGCATCTGATATTTTTATCAAGCTTGGTTTCATTAACCCTGATATACACGCCTTTTTCACCCCCCCCCCCCTTTTTTTGTTGTCTCAAATGGTGAAAAAATGCCTTATTTAGGCCCCCAACACTTGTTTTTGTTTGAGAAATGTTGTTAAAAAAAGTGATCACTTTTTCGGCGCGGCCCCCAACCAAAAGATACATCAGGGGGTTGCCAGAAAGGGGGATGTGCCCCCTTCTGTTTGGGGGGTTTGAAGGGGGGCGGAGTCTCCCTCATCGCCAAGAAAATTTTTGACTTGTGAGAGGCTATAAATGACCCCAGATTGATCAAAAGGTAACGTGTAACCAACGCTGAAAAGCATTTGACTCTATCTCAATCCATTGAGAAGTCGCAGCACTTTGAAATCAATTTTGATGGAAAAAATCAACGCAAAATAGTGATTTTTGGCAATTTTGAGATGTCCCCTCGTTGCCATGGTAACAGAAAATTTAAGCCTGAGCATGTTGTTGCAAGGGCAATATTCCAGTCAACATTTGTGCCAAGTTTGATTAGTGTTGAAGCAGATTTTATAGTATTATAGCAATTTGAACTTGTAACAGGAGACTTTTCAATGAAAACAGCCATTTTTCACAAAATGCTCATGAAGTAATGGGTTAAGGAGGGTTGTCCCCACAACAGTGTAGACAACATTAATTTTTCATGAACCTTACCTACTATTATTCAATTTACAGGTTCTCTGCATACATAAATATTAAAGGGATCCCTTTTGAATTGAGTGTCTAAGGTTGAATTATTAAATATCCATATCCATATAAGCACATTTCAATAATGTAATCTAATCAAAGTTTACCAGGGTTTCAAATATTTGACTTAGTAATTTTGAAATACAATGCACATTGTGTTACGGGAAGCATTAGACAGTTTGAAACTATCAATTAAATGTTGACCAAATTTGCGACCACTGGTTCTTACTTAATATCATGGTATAATTTTCTAGAAACTGACACGATTTCTATCCATGGGATTTCTCCTTCCCATTCAGAAGTGTGCTGTGTGGCAGCTGCAGAAAAAAATTGCACAGTCCTTCAGCTCAATGCTTATAAATTTTTCTGGTCCATTCAGAAATTACAAATTTCAAAACTTTTTGTGTTTAGAATTGAGTACTGTTTGGGAGTATGACAAATGTCACACTTATCACTGTCTTTTTATGAAAAAAAAACTCAATGAAAGTTTGTGGTTTTAAAATGCCTGTTTTTGTTTGTTTTCCTCTTCAGAGATCTCCACATTTCAAAAACTTCTTCCTATATTTTGCCCAAGTGACCAATATTGATATATCTTCAAAAATGAGCTGTATTTAATCAAGGTTAGAAGGGAGTTAAAGAAGCATATGTGGATTACCACTAAATGTTTGCTTTAAAATATAAAAACAAACCAACAAATTCCACAAAAAGAACATTTATGTTCAGATAAAATGTAGATTTAACATTGAACAGTAGTGAAACAAAATATAAAATCTTTATGAAATTTTAGCATGATAATTCCCTACAAAAGACTCGCTCTACCAGTATTACTTTCAGTTTAAACAAAAATATAATACACAAGTTTAATGGCAAAATTCTCTTAAAAATAAAACATAAAACTTTCTTTAACAATATTGTGCAATAACTGTCTCATTTATAAAGTTTCTATGCCATTTATATATATATAAAATCCTTGAAAATATTGTTTCACAAATCTCTCTTTAAAGGCCCATTATGCCTCAGAAATGCTATCATTTTTATTTCACAAAAACTTTAAAGTTTTTGATATCTAGTTTCAGTTTCCAAAAAACACTCATTTGCCATATAGATGTACTATCTTTGCTTCTTTTCTTTTGTTTGCAATTGGTATAATTATAGTGAATCAATATTTTGTATGTTAGTCAAAAATTCAAAATACTATATAACTTTATTTACATTTTGCTATCATTATTACACATTCCTGCATTATTACACATTCCTGCATTATTACACATTCCTGCACATTCAGAGATACTTTCTTCAGTTGTTAAACATCTAGCATACTCTAAATCTATTATTAAAACATAATAAAAGACATCTTTGACATTTCTAAAGAATTTAAGAAATATGGATTGCTGAGACATAATGTGCCTTTAATTAAGTTTCTATTTTCTGTCTATAAAAAGACAAAATTATTTAACTGAAGCATTTTAAAAATTGTTAAAAACTGAACACATCTCCACATAAAAAACACATCCTCTGTCCTCAAAATTGTTTTATTTCAAAGCAAACTTGTCAGCACAAAACCAATTACAACATAGCACCCCTTGGCTGTCCCTTGCGTTGAAATATTATGGCAACCAATGTACTTTTCTACAACTAACATTTCATACAACTCTTTATCTATAAACAATATCTTGACTGTTTATATCCTCTCCTTTATTCACCATTGGCCCTTATTCCCCTTATTGTAGCCCCTCCCTCTTGACGACTGTCCCCTACCTCCCCCTCTACTCCCAAACTGTCCCCCTCCTGCACTGTATCCACTATTAAATCTCTGTCCACCATAGTTATTATCTCTCTTGTTTCTATCACTACCATCATTATAATCACTTCCACCTCTGTTTCCATAGCTACCAGCTTGGTTACTGCTGTAAGAACTAGTACTTCCAAAGTTACCTCCGTAACTATCACCATAGTTACCCATGTCCCGATCATTACGGTAATCACTCTGTGATCCTCCAGCTGTATTGACAAAAGAATCTCGACGCTGAGCTGTAACACACAAAAAAAGAAACCCACTTAGTTCTTAGATTTCAATTCAAAATAAGAGCTGCCAGTAGAACAGCGTACTCAACTATTCTCAGTGCTTTAAAGAAAAACAAGAGCCTAGATAATGTAGAATTTTCTAACTTCACAAAGGGCTATAATTCTGTCAAAATTCATGTTAGAGTTATTGGCCTTGGAAAGTGAACTCCTATTATGCTTTTGAATAAGTGCGTGACATTTCAACCCACTTCCTTCAGTACTTTTGGAGGTACCAACTTGCATGCAAAAACTTGACCAAACTGTGATGCCAATGCTGGGGTGAGTACAACAGCTCTCCCAAACTGATAGCTTTCCTAGAAACTCATGTAATTCACACTAACCCTGAAAAGGTCATAATTACAGAGGCTATCCAGTCTTACTAATTGAGAAAGACCTTGAAGCCCTCCGGTTAATTATTTAGACATTAGTCAGCAATTCAGCAGAAGCACTAGCTTCCTTCCTTCCGAGCTAGCTAGATTGATACCTTACATGCAAGAATCTGATGTCCCATTCAAACCCATAGCAGGCAAGGAAAGGTAATTCAAAGTCAGGGACTTAAGTCATTATGCAGCAGTGGTATGACAAATGGAATTTCTAAAGTAATTATGTACATTGTACTTACCAGAGCCAGTATTTTGCTGAGTACTGTAATAATCATTCCTCGAGTCCCTCCTATTCTGATCTGAAATTGACAGAGATAAATTAAGCCCCATCTAAAAAAAAACAACCAATACATGAAAATGTTTGTTAATCCTTCCACAAACTTTTAAAAGATCATCTTCACATCTCTTATATATATACATATCCTTAAATGAACTGGTATTTGGGAACGCAAATTTGTTTCATTCCGTAAACTACCGTTATATTTACCTGGGATGTTGGAACATTCGTTTGTGGGATCTGGGAACTATCAGAGGTCGAAAATAATGCCAATGTTCCAAAAAACAATGTATAAAATATTTATCATTTTAAACATTCAAAGTATCATGTATAAAATCATCTAAAAAAAGTATGAAAAATATCTAAAGTAATGTCAAAATATTTGATGTTATATTTGGCAATCCCATTTTTTCACTACTGGCTGAGAAAAATGTTTTATTTAATTTTCATACTAGAATAGGGACCCGGTCGTAGAATTTTTCTTACAATTTACTTGCTATTATTATAAACTCCTCTTATAGAAGTGTTACAAAATTCAAATGCAGTTATCATAAAAACTTTCATCAATACACAGAATAAAACTTGATCCAAAGAAGTATTATCAATCACCAGCTTTCTGTATCTTTGCAATGGACAAGTGACATCCGGCATCTGGTACCATTGTTATATTGACCTCATTTTGACCTCATGTAAACTGGTCGAGTCCAAACATGTAAATTCAATGATAATTATATAATTTCTATAAGACTGATTGAATAATTACCCTCCATAAATTGTCTCTTGGGCTCCTGTCCATATTCCCTTGTATCTGCAGGTCTCTTTCTGCCATGATCTCCCCATCCTCGGCCACCTCCTCTTTTCGGGCTTCCTCCTCGCCCTCGAGGGCTAAACTGGCCACTCCTCGACTGTTCCTGATGACGATTATCATAACCTCTGTCAACAGTTTCTTTCCTGGATGTTAACAAAAAACGTTTTTTAACAAACTTATAACTTAATCTTTTTTTTTTTTTTTTTTTTTTTTAAGAAATACAAAAATTTTTTAGTAACCCAGGGTAACCTTCTATCATTTACTAAAGCTTATTAGAGCATACAGCAAGACTTGCAGGTAGTACCTGCTTTTAAATGTATACACAAAGCCTTCCACCTGTATAATAAGTGACATAACCAGTCAAAATTTACATACCCAGTCATTTTTTCTTCCATGCGTGCAATAGTTGATTTAAGGTATTCCATCATAGCCATAGGGTCTTCATCTCTGTAAAAAATAGCACACTTTTATTTCATACACAGTGACAAAATTTAGTGCAGGAAAGAAACACTTTCAATCATAATTCAAAATTAATAAAATATAATACAAAAAAACAAATAAATACCTTTATGCACCACTAAATTCATCAATTTTTTAATTTATCACTAAACACAAAATATACTCCAAGCAGGAATCTCTTTCATTGTAATGAATTAGCTGATAACTTTAAATCACATCCCCAAATTGATGTTGAAGCTCACAAACAGAATATAAACTCTTGAAAGAAAGCAAGCTATGCTAGTGTTCCTTAGGATTTTCACTGGGAGGTTTGCAGTCACACCAACACTGTCATATGGCAACTAACCAGCTTTACTGGTGGAGGCAGGACCTCAGGTCTGCCTCCATGCATTTTCTAGGCACCTGAGAAGCTAGCTAGATAGCTTCCTCAAATGAAAGAATTCAAAGTCCCTCATGGAATTCAAATCCAAAGCAGTGCAAGGCATGTGGTTTGACAACAACACAACTAGCAAAACAAAGACTAAGCTATGAATGCCCCAACCAAACTTCCCATGCCCCTGTGCTTCTAAATAGCCTCTAGCCACGATTGCCTTAAATGATTCTTCATCCCAGTTAATCTGCAGAGTAACCACACAATGTTTGCAGGCACCTTTCTATCACTAAATTTTACCTCTCTATCTTACTTTATACAGTGATTTCAAATATTTTCAGTTTGAAATCCTATCAACATACCGGCTTGTTGAAGGTGAGGAATATCTCTGCTCATTCCTGTAAGAGCTTGAAGACCTAAATGACGACGACCTCTCAGCTCGGTAAGGAGACTGTCGAGATTGCTCTCCTCTAAACGATGGACTTCTCTCGGAACTTCTACGCTCATGACCTTGATTACCATGACCTTGATTACCACGACCTCGACCTGGCCTTGCACGTTGTCTACCTCGATTAGACTGAAATCATTCAGCAGAGCATTAATATTTGTTAATACTTTTTGAAAAACAGACCTTTGGCCATAACATTAAAATACAGAAATGAAATCATTGAAATGAAAGATTTTAAATATATTAAATATATACATTCCCTATGAAAAAAGATGGATAATTACCAACACCAAATCTAAAATGGGGTTATCACAAGATCATTAATCTAGAAACATAAATATAATTCAAATAAATGTACCTCTCTTTTAGGTGTGAAGTCTTGAAACTGTCCTTCATAGTTGCCACCTTTTCCTGTATAAAACCAAAACATAGTATAAATAGTTGGCATTTAAACATCTTTTGAAAATTTGATAGATGCCAGGTCACCAAATAAAAGTGTAAAATTAAATGGTTGAAGGTAAACACATAAAGGTGCTAACTTAAGAAGCATGATATTCAACTTTCCAAACCACATTGTTGCTATTTGTCTGCGCCAAAAGATATCAATATTTCATTAAACTGATTATGACAATTATAAAACTACATTTGCAGGTATTTAATCATTGTGTTTATTCTAATAAAACTATTTTTAAAGATATATTTAAGGTACAAAATGTCTGGGAATATCTGAATGAGTCGATTTATTTTATTCTGTTTATCAGGAACACATGACCGTGACCTTCCAGCTATACTGGAAGAGGAAAACTACAAGCTTCCAACAGGTACAATTATTTCCGGCATGAGAACACACCTGGGTAAAACTTCATACTTTCTGCAAAGTCTCCTCAAATATGTTAATCAAAATGACAAAATTTGGAAACAAGGAGCTGAAAATCTGGTAAGTGCTGGTGTATTTGTTAAGGTGTCTGTCACTCAACAGAGGGATCATGGCTTCAAACCATACTGGAGTCACAAGCATGTTTTTTTTATATGACATTAGTACTGATTAGTTCCAGGAAGCAAATACAAGACTTAGACTTAAATCATCATCTTAAATATGTTTCAACTATCTGCAAACCAATCTGGGGGCCTGAAAGTAACCTATTTGCACTTTTTCTCACATTACCTTTCATTCACTGAAAATAAATGTGGTTACCTGGTTTCGAGCCACTAAAGTTTCTCTTCCTTTGACCTCTTCCTCCTGAAGATACACTGCCTATACAATGAAATGTCCTATATTTATAACCAATTTTATAATCTAAATCATAGCAAATAAAATATACTAGGAGAAAAATATAACAAGGAACATAACATCATTTGCAAAGAAATATATTATTATATTTTACTATCTTGATTATAAATCTAGAAAAAGTACAACCAGAAATTTGACTACATGTACTACAGCTTTTGTCCTACTAAACTTCAAACCAATTTTTTTCCACTTCACTTCAAATCAAAGTCAAAGATGGAAAGAGGAATGTGTTCTGGAGGCATATCATAGTAACAATAGTTGTTACATAATGTACTTACAAAATGCAGAAATTAAATAAGAATCTGTGACAACTAATAATACAACACTGAATTTTGACATTTAAAATGCTGTTTGTTTTGTGCATGTGTATTAAAGGCACTTCCTAGATGATAATATAAAGGTTTTAAGATATATATAAATATCTTAAAACCTTTATATTATCATCTAGGAAGTTGATTTACAATATATATCTAAAATGATTATTAGAGGTATTACCTGGAGGTCCCATATTTGTGGCTCCAGGACTTTTTATACCAGTTTGCTGTGATGATTGACCGGAGCCTGTTGGTTTTCTACCAAAGTTCCCGCCCCTTTTGACTCCGCCTCCTCTTCCCCTTCCTGTATTTCCAAACCCGATCGCCCTACTTCTGATCTTAGCTGCTTGAAAGCTACCTCTCTGTGCCGAACCCCTACCTCTACCGAAACCACGCCCCCGGGAAAACTGCTGTGGCTTCGGATTCTTTATGTATTTCTTTTCAAACGCACTGATTTTGTCTGTGAGATAATAGCATGTAGAATTGACATCAATGAAACATTCAAATAAATACAGAGAACAACAGACAGGAATTAATTTCAAGCCTTTGAAAGTAACACATTGTTCAATAGTACTGGGTGACAAAATCTATAAAAGCAAAAGTAATGGTGCTGAAAAATGAAATAGAACTGAGAGGCAAGATAATAAATGTAATAAATAAATGGTAATAATTGTAAGTCTGTTTGATAACGTATGTTGTAAAAGTATATTATACACTTAGGGCCAATTAAACTTCAAAACTACAAATATTTTTTTATCTTTCCAAAGCCTTTGTTTTTTGGTCATCTGTGACAATTTCAAAAAGAGTAACTCCTCAAGTCTCTTTTACAAATTAGTAGGATAAATTTACTTTTTTGTTTGATTTACGTCAATTTTAACACGTTTTTCAATTAAATTTTAGTCATTTCTCGGCAGTCAAACACCCTATCCAGCTTCCCTGGATAACTAACAATAATACCAATTTTTTTTTGTGAGTGACTTGGCATGATTTTTGAATCAGTAATGAAAACAAATGACTATAATACTAAATTTTTGAGATCAGTTGTGACAAAAATCACCCCTGAATTAGCAACAGCAGTTAGCTATGACCAAATGGTTAAGGTATAGGTGCATAACAAGAAATTATGTTGGTTTTGTCATGACGCGGCTCAAATGTTCGAAGATCAGTTGTCACAGAAATTACCCCTGAATTAGCAACAGCAGTTAGCTATGACCAAAATGGTAAAGTGATTTGCATAACAAGGAGTTTTACCCGAGAAAATTCTGAATATCTTCAGTTGACAGTCTTCAACAAACACGTCTTTATTTGTATCCAAACATTGTATACATGCCTCCTCTGTGTCAAATTCTAACAGCACGCTCCTGAAGTGTTCAAAACACATAACTCAATATCTTGTGCATGGATCTTTCTCCAAATAACTATTACATTAATGTTTCCAACAAATATTCCTATATCAAACGAATTCCTATATTCCTATTACATCCCGATTTCGGGAAAAAATAAATTACAATTAAATTTTACCTAAGAGAACCTATGGGTATTTTTTAAATTATGTTTGTAGCTTACTTATCATTCTAACATGGATACTAGTTTTTTAATTTTAAAGATTTAAATGTTCAAACTATAATCATATTAACCAGGTTACAGTCCATTATATACTATAGAGTATCTAATCAGGTAACTTACTAAATGTTATCAAAGTAAGACAAAGAGATAAATAAATCAATAGATTTAGTCAGTTTTGAAAAAAATGTTGCTACCATTAAGATTCACAAGTTCTTCCTGTTAAATAATGAAACTATAAATAGACCACATATGGACATACAACTGTATAAATATATATACATGTATACAAATATCGAAAAAAATCATATTTTTTTTAAAACTATTTCCAAATGGTTAAAACTGTAACACCAATCATTAAGTATTAATTTAAAAATGTAATGCTCAAGTTAATGAGAACAATACTTCTTTAAACCTTAGGCTGCGGTGGCACACCTGGATTACTAATGCACAGTGCATCAAGATTGTACTAGCACTCTTCTGCTCTGTCCAACGGTCTGCACTTTTGCTATCCATTCTTACTTACTTGAAAATTCTTTAAAATTAATGGTTTTTCCAGAATTAAATAAAATTTCCATTTTAGATTTAAAGCATTAAGCCTTCTGTCTCATTGTATTTCAATGCCAATTTCATTAAAAAAATATATATAAATTATATATATATATGAAAAAAAGCGCATTTGAAATTCTTTATATATGTGTAAGCACTCTTCAATCAAAAAGGGAAAAAAAAAACTTCGTTCATTATTTCATTCCTATGTTAGGCCTATTCCTCTGCAAAGTTTTGTCAAAGATAGGAGCTTTTCCAAAAAGAAAATCCTGACATAACAATTCTCCATAATCCTTGTATTTTCTTCTCAAGCGAAAACATGTATAGTCTTTCTAAAAAGTTATATTTTTGCAATCCTTTTATTAAAATTGTGAGCAAATATCATTGTTTTCCCTAAGATGAAAAGTTTTAAACATTAAAAATATAGTGTGGTTTTGTTTTTTATAGCCCTCATCAAAAAAAGGGAAAAGGTCTTGTTTACCTTCGTCTGTACTTACCCTACTTTACTACCTCCATCTGGTAACTCTTCCATATTCAGAGTTATCTTTTGTGCCTCGGGAAATAGTGACCTCATTGTGTCCTCTGTCACGTTCGCAGGAACGTTTTTCACGGCTATTTGACGCTTTCTCTCCTCAACTGCAAAGTGTACAACTCAAGGCATATTTGCCAAACTTTGGATGCATGATCCATAATCAAATATGTATAGAATGCATCCAATTAACGGCAAATTTTGTTCTATATACCTTTTGTAATCCCACGGTTATTATAACTTGATCAAGTGACAGGGACATTGTGTACTGTACACCTCATAACAGCTATTGCATGGGTTTTGTAGAACACTTAAAATAAAACTAGATGTACAATGCATTCTTTGGTAACAATTTCTCCTCTTATTACTAAAATCACAAAACTAGTGACCAGTCTGTACAAGACTTTATATCTGCAAATTCCGGAAAATGAAAAATGCATGGCAGGTTTCTTTCGTACATTTGCAAATGCTGGTTCAAACTGTTGTTGAGCAAACAAACATTACATCTAATACATATATACTCCATTGACATCAGCTCTCAGGATAATGTACAAAAAAACAAAATGTACTCAGAAAACATAGGTTCCTGTTAGAAAAGAATATTTTACATGCATGTAAATAAAACAATAAGGTATCAGACACGGACTGCAAAGAGTCCACACTATCTGAACAGCATGTTACGACCCTGTTTGGGGTTTTCAATGCTTCCATTATGTATGATAATTTTGATTTCCATTCACACCAATTAATGACAATTTTACTTTCTAAATTGTCCTTTGATGTGAAAAACAATTATTTTGCATGAGTAAAATCAAAGTATCAATTTCCTCACTTACATTTGTATGAGAAGATTTCAAGGTTTAACCTTAGTTTTTGTTACGTTTCTACATAACACAAAATCAATAACAAGAGATTGGCAATGCAGTATCTTTCAATCTTCAAAGCTGCCAAACCTTGAAATATCTTTTCCTCTTTACATTCCCTTCTGTTGTTCTTCACAATCCAACCTTACTTCATTTATGATTTTGTCCGAACCTTTGTTCAAAACATGAGTTCCAGATCAGTCAAAATGAAATGTACATTGTATGATTTATAATATCCATCCTTAAAATGTCACAATCAGAACAGGATAATCTCTATGATGTGAACACCATTTACAATAAGTTGAATTGGATCATGCGATTGGTTTACAAAGGTGCTTGCTGTGTAGAGGTAGCATCATAAAATCGCTTATATCTGAAGTAAGAAAATCTTTGTTCATCTAGAGAAACGCTATAGCGAACGCCAGTAAGTATCTAGAGAAATATTTCCTCCCTTTTTACATGTCATCATAGATGATAATTCTGTATTGATACGTATTCAAATGCTTCTTCTTGTCTCTACTTATACACATTGTTTCACCTCAGTTCCCTTTTCACAGTTCAATAAGTTGAAGACATTAGACAAACTTAAATTCAGTTCATTTGACTGTATAGAATCAATTGCAGTTCCAGCCATTTAGAGTGTCTTCATTTTTATATAACTATAAATGGATTTGTTCTATTTCATAGAGTTATTTCACAATCAATAGAGATGAAATTGATTAAAATAATTATTACCACATGTTATGTGCTGACAAAATCAGTATGAAGTTACAGTTCACAAATGTTACTTCACCACATATCTCACCAGACGTTCAATATTTCACCATATTTTGATCCACAAGATTTCATCAATTTTGATCCAATAATTTCTCCTCAATTTCAAACCTGCCAGAGTTTGTTACCGACTATTTTGGCATTTTAACTGTCACAGTATCATGAAACATGCTTCTCTGAAAATTTAGAACTAAATCTTCTATTCTTGTGATTTTTTTGCTGTTTTTGTTTTCTTTCATATTTGATGGTAATAGTTAATGCATCACTTTAGTTTCCTCTGCCATTTAAATATTTCTTCATGAAGGTGATACATTAAAGGTTTGACAAGGTTTTATTGAAAATTACTAACACCTTCCCAGACGATAATAATTAAAGTTATTCAGCTCTGATCATAAATTTTTTGAAAGTAATTTTTCATGCTTTCTTCTGCATATTTTCTGTTGATTTTGTTTTCCTACTGGTATTTTAAATCAATTTCAGAACCAACAGGTACACAATCTGTTGAAGTCTCTACAGTCACATGTCAAATACTTTAAGTTGTCTCTCTCTTAGCTTGACATTCAAACTGTCTTTATTTTACAAGCTGGAAAATGTCTTCCAAAAAGAACTGTGTCAAAGATCAGTGTGTAAGAAGTGTTCTTTTTTTTTTCAGTTTCCTCTGATGTTTATGTGCCATGAGACCGAAGTATTTCTTCAATTTTGATAAAATCTTCAATATTTTCTTTTCATCTGCATCATTTCCAACCAATACCAAGAAGTTTTTAAAGTTTAATCGTGGCTACTTGCCATTAAGCTGTTTAGTAATATGTGAGCAGGACTTCTTATTCTTGGTCCACAGTAACAAATTTTGGTTTTCTTAGATTTCATCCATGATAGAGATCTTTGGTTGTCTTTTTATTTTTTTTCCCCATTCACTTGATTTCTTCTTCAGATGGCATGCCAAGATAGATCCCATTTTTCCATTTTTAAACCATTTAACCCATCCTACATATAGAATAATTAACTTACCTTATATACTGAAGTTCTAATAGTAAATACTTACACTTTTGTGCTCTGAACTTCCTATTGTCCTCAATATACTGCTGGCATTCTGCCAAGAAACACAAACATTTGCAATGTTGAATTGATTTTACAGGTTCATCAAAAACTTTAGAAAAATAAGAAATTCAGAAAGTAAATAAAGCTTGATAACTAGGACAAAAGTCTCGCTGCTGACATTCTAACCAGAAACGTAAACATTTGCAATGGTTAAGTAGATTACAAGTGCATGAAAAAAATGTCTTCTACTGGTTGTAAGCAAAATAAGAACTTCAAAAAACAAAGAGCTTCATTACTAGGGCAAAGGTCGCGATCACTAAGTTAGGTACTAGAAAGCATCAGAATAAGATAAATTATCTGTTACACACTGTTGAATATAATTTTGTGGTTATAAACACGGTTGCCTCGTAACAAAAGTTTTTTGCCCTTCTATGTTTTCAGGAAAAAGTGCAAGGCAGTGCAATTCTCAATTTTGTGACAATTACTTTCGTTGTACATATATATATATATATATGTATGTATGTTCACGCTTCACTTCAGATATCGCTGAACATACTATGAAAATTACAATACTAATATAGTCTACTAAATACACATCAACATATTATCACATGTCATCTGTCAAGTTTGAACATGAACCTACCCACTACAGCCTGATTGAAAGCATCTGGAAACTTGACAGACATATCTCTTCCATCAATGTGAAGATTTCCCAGCCTGAATGCCACACGGATCAGGAATGTTGGAGTTGTGATCTCAAACGGCAGACGTACAAATCTGTATGATCAAATAATTTCTCTTACTTAATAAATGCAGGCAATCAGAAATTGTTTTGTTTTTATCTTGAGCATTTATCATGTGTTATAAAATAAATTGTTGTTGAGTTAACAGAAAAATTATCAATATGTTTTTTAACAGAAAAATTATCAATATATTTTTTTTACAATACATTCCAGTGAAAAATTTCTATCTTAGTTTTTTAATTTCCCTTAAAGGGACTGCACTGAGGATTTTTGACATCATGGGTATGGAAATAATTTTTCAAGATTTATGTTTCCTTTGATGTAGGTCTAGACCAGTTACTTGTCTACAAATTTCAGATTATTTGCTCACTCTGTTTTAACAGAAAAAATTACTCTAATTGTGATATATAACCTATAATTGAAAAGAGTTGCAATGCTTTTCAATCTAATCCCGCAAAGACTAGCACATAAGTACGATTTTGATTTTAATTCTTAATTTTCTTTTGCATACCTTTCTATTTTAACTTGCCCAAGCTGATATATATATAAGAAATTAAAATTATATGCTTTTGGACCTCAGTGGAGTTCCTTTAATTTCTTGAACAAATACAATGTCATATACATCATTTAATAAATTACAATACTCAAAACTACTAACCCTGATTTTTCCTGCACAATTTTACCAGTTGAATCTACCTTATCTCTAAGTTCAAACTTGATCTCAAAATTGTCTGTTAGTTTCAAGATTTCATGCAGCTTTTCTGACCTAAGATCCATCTGTCTGATGGGACCTATGTTCACTGTTAGATTACGCACTAAAATATAAATAAAAATATGTGCATTACCATCAATATTTCACTAGCCCCAAGGACTAAAATAATATATTTCTCCATCCCTTTCATAATGTTTTTTTTAGCTGGAGAAAATAGTTTGTATTAAATAATACACAGATAATTGGGTAATTTGACTTACTAAAATCCCACCATAGAAGCTGCTTGTTTTATTTTATTGACCTTACATGAGAGAATCAATATGGTATCCTTTGTAATGAACTCATGCCAAAAAGAAATTAACACTCTGTGTCAAGCAAAATAACTGTATTTATTATTAATGATAATGTTTTGAGATAATGGATATTAAACTTAGTTTTTTAGTTTAAATATAGTTTATTTCAAACAATGATACATCACGTTGTTAATACATTTACAATAAGTAGATACACAAATGAAAAAGGAATAGAGACGAAAGCTATAAAGCTTATAAAGGTCTTCTCCTAAAATATTAATAAGATATTCAACTTATGTTACATCATCAAGTAATACCATAAACTAGGTAATTCTTTAATTTTAACCCTGCAAAACCTGAAAGAAATTTTGCTATTACCATAGAGCCAGGCCAGATTAAGCATCCCTGCAATCTGAACAGACTCGTCACTCTTAATTGTTGGCTGACCAACTTTTAATTCTAAATGGACAGCTCCCCAGAACAATCACATTTAAGAAATTAAATAGGTTATGGGTTTAAAAAATCAGCATTTCAAAAAACTTACATTTTGCTAATGAAGCAGGAAACGGTTTGTCAAATTTTGGTTCCTGTGTTAATATATCAGTCTTCTTTGATGCTGGGGACAAGTCTGATGCTGATGATGGCTTTGTAGCATCGGAGGACTGGCCTGATGTCGATGCTGGAATAATATGTATATATTTTATTATCAGTCATTTAAAATTGAAATGAACTGTTACTGGACCTTCAAGATCATTGATCTAATACATTTAGTGTTGGTTAATTGAATACTGGTGCCAGAGCAAGTAGAAATGAGAGGTGTTGAACTTTCCATTGCCTTCAATGAACAGACACAATCAAAACCTAGTCAGAGAATGACACCTATTAATTTTTGTAGTATTGTTCTAAACTTGAAAGATTTCTTCTAAATTGTACTAGATCAAATCACTGTATTTGTTCCCTTGATAATAATTTTAGCATTAATTTAATTGCTTTTCTTAATTCTTTATAAAACTTAGCACCAGTGTAGAGATGTGCTGCTTGTATGGTATGACAGACCCTAGACAAGCTAGCAATCAATTAGAATCACATACCTTCAATGAGCTCTCAAGACATTTTCCACTAACATTTTTAATATACATCAAATGTATAAATTACAATTACCTTTAGCAGGTGAGACTTCTGGAGTCTGTTCAGTAGGTTTAGCACCATCAGTTGGTTTCGTTAAACCCTCAGTATTAACCTTGGACTTTTCCTCTGACTTCTGATCTGTGACTGTTTCATCAGCTTTCTTTTCCTGCACGTCTACACTTTCTTCAGTATCCTTCTCTGCTTCTAATGTTTCCTTTTCGACTTTAACTTCATTGGAATCACTCTGATCTTTTTCCTTTCCACCTAGATCTGTATAATTGACAGAAAGTATTAACCACAAGTTCATAATCAGTTCTTTTAAAGACAACTGGTAGGCAAAATAAAAATACCCAAGTGACACACTTTTTTTAATCATAATCCAGAGGTATCATTTTCAGACATGTAAACTTATTTTTCTTTTCAACAGTACTAGTTCATTTTTCCACACAATTCTGAATTGTATTGTAAATGTATGCAGGGTCACTTTACTATTCTAAGTACTTATTGAATATTAAAAGGCTTCTTTTTTAATAGTAACAAGATCAAGATTTTTTTAGCTTTTCTTACCCATTTTTTTGCCATAGAAACCACATTTCTCAACACAGGATGAAAATTAAAATAATGCCAACTTGACCAACAGTGATTTTTTTACCTTTGTGTCCTGCCTCATGTAGGCAATAAATTGCCTATAGACTCAGTTTCAAAATATTGTGCTTTTTGTTGTTAGATGCAATCATTTTCCTTGCAGATAGTCCAGTCTCACAGGAATGAGGCCAACAACATTAAGTGCAAGTTTTGTTGTTTATATCGGTATGCCATTCTACTGAGTAGTGAGTACTCACTCACTGACAGTTTTTGCAGATATTTCACATAGTATTTATCGTTCTAAGAGGCCATTTTCATCTATTACTGACATATGACATAAATCACAACCCTAATGTACTGTATTTAAACATGGTATACATAATTCCCTTGTTTGGAATGTACAATAAATTAACTGAATTGAAATTTATTCTAGCAATTTGACCCACCTGGTGGCAAACATCTTACATTGTTTAGCAAAATGAAGAAATTGTAAACCCATATATACCTTCACTTGTTTCTGACTTTTTCTTCTCATCTGTATTAGTTTTACTTTCTGTGTCAGTAACTGGTACATCATTCACTTCCATCTCTTTCTCAATGGCAGCATTGTCTGTTTCAGTTACCTCTGTACATTTCTCGGATCCAACATCGTCTGTTTCTGTCAGTAGAAGATCATCTTCCTTTCCTTTCTCATTGTCATCATTCTTCTCAACTGAACTAGGTACTCCCTCTATCTTTACTTCAACAGTTTCACTTTTGTTTGCTGCATCTTCTGTGTTTAATTTTCAACAAACAAAAAGAAAAACTTAGTACAAATTCATTTTTTTTTAGAAATACAAATATATGTGTAGCAATAAAATTATGCATTTTAATATTTCTACTTTAACGACAAACATTTAACATTTTGAAAGTTAACATTCCTAGACAAACTTATCATCAGGTACTTTTAAGTAATTTACAAAACAGTAACTTATTTAAACAACCATTTATCTACTGCGTTTAAAAGCTAATCAATTATTATAATAGCAATACCCTTTGCCAATGTTCCATCTTTAACCTCTAAATCAACAGTAATCCCTTCGCCTTCATCAACCGCTGCTACAGAAACATCATTATCAGTATCCTCATCATCTGCTGTTGTTTTCTCACTCTCTGACTTTTTCAAAGATGAAAATCTTGTGCTTTGTCTTGTTCCTGGCATGGCCGGTAAATTGATGATCTTGACTCACATCAACTATATATCATGGAATATAAATATAAGTTATAAGGTTTACAATAGATCTACTGCATGAGTGTATCAAATCCAACTTTAGAATCACCAGGTCTAGTATATTGCCAGATAAGTGCATGCGTATGCAAATGCGCTGCTCTTTCAAGATGAGAACCAGTCAGCTATAGACGGAGCCATTAGGAAATATGTTGGTTTCAATAATTCAAAGCAGAGCATATTTGTATACGGCAAAGGTGGGGAGCCACGTCTGAATCTGTCAAAAGATTTTGTAAATGGAGTAAAACGTCAATAATCTTGATTTTTATTTCACCTTTTGCATTGTTTATATTGACATTGAAGTGTAAAATTGACCATCATCATGAAGAATTATATTTTCTGTATCGATGGACCAAAGGATTATGTGAAAACATTGGAAATGGCATAAAATACATGCTGATTTTGATGGTAGGTGTGCAGATTTTTACTGGCGAACATTTTTATCTTGTGTATTATAATTAAAGGTCTACGTAGAAATATGAATTTTTTTCAAAACAGCTTATACTTAGTTTTTTTGATATATATGATCAGTACATGTACTGGGGTTGATTTTATTTGGATTTTAAAGGCGTTTTAACTGTTTAACTCCACAACCCAAGTGTCTGTGGAGTAATCAACATTTACACCAATAAAAAATACAAGTTTTACAGAAGAAAAATTAACGGTCAGAATAAAAATACAGTGTTTCTGCCAAAGCGCGTTTTTGCGTTTTTGGCGCATTATTTTCGGCCATGACGCAATGAAATTTAGTAAGTGCGTATTTTGTGACGCAAGAATTTCACCGTCGCTGATTTCAACACGAGTCAGATATACTAAAAACAGTCAATTCAGTATAAAAATGTACGGAATGTTTACCGAGGGCTCCACTATAATTTTAATGAGAAATGAAATTTACCGGGTCCGGCATTTAGCCAATTTCAACTAGTTAATAAACGCTTGCATTTATACGATACTGCATATAATGAAAGCGCCCAGACAAAATTATTTATTTTGTTGTCGTCATATTCCGCGAACGAATTAACTGTCTGTTGAAAATGCCGTCTGCTCCAAAATAGCGGAGATTGACCAATTTTTTAAGAAAAATACACAAAATATTGTTGTCCATGACCAAAAAGAAGTATCATATAAAAAAAATGTTGACAATGACCCTAATTCCCCGAAAGAAAAACAATCTGTTATAAATGGTGTAATTTTGTTGATGAATAAATTGACAAAAAAAATTAAAATAACTATTCAAAAATATAACACAAAAACAAGTATTTAACAATATTTTTATTCAAATATAGTTGAACTACATGATGGTACATAAATGTTCTCTGGCAAGAAGTAAAGTGCCTTAGAAAATGAAACTTATAAAGTGTTATCTGTTGTTTTTTAAATTTTTGTTAAATTTATTGGCATGACCCTTATGAATTTGAAATGACCCCTAAAATATCATACAGGGGGTCATAAAAGACCCTCAGAAAATCAGAGCTGGCAGAAACACTGAAAATATATAATAAATATGGTGCTCTGACGAAAAGGAAGTATGTTAAATTATCGTCAGAATGTAAAATCATCAACAAACGGCATGCACTGTACGAAACTTTTTGGGGCGAATCGCTAACAAAAAAGTAACAAAGAAAATATTTGCAGTTTCAATAACCTGTTGGACAATTATCTTCATTTTATACCATATAATATTTCATAAACACACTTATAGAAACCATGCACATACCACATAACACAGGCGAATTCCTATTAATTTATTTGTTTTTCCTTACCGTAACCTCGTTTTTTTGTTAAGAGTTATTCCCCTTATTGTTTAGTGTGAACGCCATTAAATTTATTTTCTCACTTTATTTCTAGGTGTAAAGATACTAAATTAAGTGTGCGCACATGTACTACTGATCCAAATTACAATGTTGTTGTAGATAAGGCTGGTTTATTGAAAACATTAGTTTATCAAAATCGTTACTGATCGTAGATATGTAGTCTCAATATTTAGACTGCAAGACAGACCGATTTTATAATCTGATATTTCATAGATGTCTGAAGGGCGACCATCATCTAAATAAAAAGGCCTTAAGCGCACAATTTGTTGGGTTAGTAGATATGGTGCTCTGCCATTTACTCTTCATTTTCTACGTTAATGATATGCCATTTAGTACAACACACTCTTACGTAGACATGTATGCTGACGATACTACTATGCATATGCATCAAATAATTAATCCATATTATTATGTATTACTAAAATACATCTACTGTACTGTAAAGGCACTTGAGAACAAAGTAAATATCATATCTGAAAAAAGCACAAAGATTTTTTATTAGTGAATACTGACCCACAATCTCTAGATGAACAAGCCCATTCTTTCTTGTATTATCTGGTAATTTCATTTTTACTGAAGGCCATTTTTACTTCATCTTAAAGGTCAAGATCATGCTCTGGTAGCGTGTTGAATATCTAAATGAATACATGTTATTCCTCAGGATATGTACATCAATAGAGGTTTCTGTTCTGTCAGGGAAAAAGTATAAAACTAACCGTCATCATCAACATTTCATTAGTTCCTGTATTGTATATTTTTTTACAATTTCTCCTTGATGTACCAAGTCTTCGTTTTAGTTTAGACATTTTTCCTAACCCGTCAGCCCTAGGTCAATTTGTGATATCCAGTGGGCACAATCTCTCTGAAGGCTTAATCTTGCAGGAAAACCGTATTAGGTTTGAATAGTGCAACAAATCTGCTTTGAGTGGCCGAGTGGTTAGAAGCGTGGTTCAAATCCTTGTCATGGGCAAGCTGTTGTTTTCTTGAGCAAGAAACTTCACATCCATTGCTTAGTACTGGTTGGTTCCAGGAATGGATTTGAGTGCTTTAATAGGCTTATAGCTTCCAACTCGATTTAACTAAAGTAAGTTTATATCAACAAAATCTTTTTCTTCCACAGCCCTATAAAACAAGAGTCATGTTTGATACAGAATCTTCCCCCATTTTAAAGAGAGTTTCACATTTAAGTGTGGTACGAGAGCTCTTGAAGTTTGTTTTGATGTCCAATGAGTCAGTGCCTGGCCTTTTTCATACCATAGTTATAATAAATGGCCAAATAATAAATTTAAAATGAACTATTGAGAGGGCACATTGTCATGGTCCCCAACAACATTTCTGTGAATTTTCCATTGTAATTCAGGACATCTGTCAAGGATCAGGCATATGTTCTCTGGAAAAAGTGGGCACCTATGTCAATGTATAAACCAAGATTGCCTATACAAGATAACATACAGGTGTGTTCAAGTATATTTGTGCATGAATAAAATTTTGTTAGATAAAACTAGACCTATCACTAAAGGTGATTAATACCCAACAACTTTGACTTTTTGAAAAATAAGTAGTCTGAAGAAAAAATTGAACTCAACCTTTAGTAAATGGAGTATCAGCTGTGTACAAAGAATTATTTCAATTAATTGTAATTCCAACCAGGATCTCCATATAAACTTGCTATACATCAAGTTTGATTAAAAAATCTCATGCCTAATTCTAGTTATTGTCCAAAAAACATTTTTCTATTTTAAGTAATGGTGACCTTGACCCCAGGGGGTCCAAATGCAATACTAACCAGGGTCTAAATATAAGATTGCAATACACCAAGTTTGATTACAATACCTTTTTCCTAACTCTCTAGTTATTGTCCGGAAACCATTTTTCTATTTAAAGTAATGGTGACCTTGACCACAGGGGTCCAAATGTGGTACCAACCAGGGTATCCATATAAGCTTGCTATACACCAAGTTTGATTACAATATCTCATTCCTAACTCTTATAGTTATTGTCCGGAAACCATTTTTCCATTTATAGTAACAGTTACCTTGACCCCAGGAGGTCCAAATGCAATACCAACCAGGGTCTTCATATAAACTTGCTATACACCAAGTTTGATTACAATATCTCATTCATATCTTTGGTTATTGACCAGAAACCATTTTACTATTTTTTTTTGGTAATGGTGACCTTGACCCCAGGGGGTCCAAATGCAATATCAACTGAGGTCTCCATATTAGCTTGCTTTACACCAGGTTTGATCACAATATCTCTAGTTATTGTCCGGAAACTATTTTTCTATCTTTTAGTAATGGTGACCTTGACCCCAGGGAGTCCAAATGCAATACCAATCGGGGTCTCCACATAAGCTTGCTTTACACCAAGTTTGATTACAATATCTTATTCCTAACTTAAGATATTGTCATGAAACCATTTTTCTATTTTTAGTAATGGTGACCTTGACCCCAGGGGGTCCAAATGCAATACCAACCGGGGTCTCCACATTAGCTTGCTTTACACCAAGTCTGATTACAGTATCTCATTCCTAACTCTAATTATTGTTTGGAAACAATTTTTCTATTTTAAGTAACAGTGACCTTGACCCCAGGGGGTTCAAATGTGATACCAACCAGGGTCTTACATAAGCTTGCTATACACCAAGTCTGATTACAATATCTCATTCCTTACTCTAGTTATTAACCGGAAAGCGTTTTTCTATTTTAAGTAAGTGACCTTGACCAAGCGCTTATGCATTTTTTCATGCATTGACAACTGCAGAAGCCCTCAGATTTATTAAAGTACTCGCCCATGGCTTAAAATGCATCCTTGTTTCTGCAGATATTAATGCATGAAAAAATTGCATTAACCATCTTGTACTAAATACATTTAGGTTTACCCTTAGAACATAAATAAGATTTTTTATCAATCATTAAGATAAAAATCTCCGGCAGGAAAAGAAATTTTATTGATTACTTGATTACCTTCAATTTTTTTAAGCATGGCAAAACTATTTCAACAGAAATGAACTGATGAAATAATTTTGCCATGCCAAACAAGAAAAAAAAATGAAGGTAATCAATAAAATTTCTTTTCCTGCAGATTTTTATCTTAATGATTGATATAAAAATCTTGTTTTATGTTATAAGGGTAAACCTAAATGTATTTAGTACAAGATGGTTAATGCAAAAATTGGGGCCAATCAAATTAATATGAGCAAACTTGATAAAAGACTATCCAAGAATGCTACAAAGTTTGGTAATCATCTATCTATTAGTTCTGTAGTAGATGTTTAAATGTTTTTCTATTTTTAGTTCCGTTGACCCCTAAAAGTGGCCAATTGAAATGACATGAGCAAATTCAAGCACGACTGTCACAAGGATGCTACTGACCAAATTTGAAGTAAATCTGTCAAGCAGTTTTAGAGAAGAAGACGATTGTTGACGCATGATGACAGAACATCCCCCTTTGATACCAATAGCTCACCCTGAACCTTCGGTTCTGGCGGGTTAATAAAAACAAGAGGGCCATGATGGCCCTGAGGTTGCTCACCTGTATATAGGGCCCCCCCACCGCCAGGGCCAAATTTAACCCAAGGGCTTTTATTTAAACAAACTTGGTAGACACCCATAAGAAGATGTTTCATGCTTAACATTTAAGCTCTACCTCATTGGGTTTTTTAAAAGAAGATTTTTTAAAGTTTTTACTATACACATTCAGTTAGAAACAATGACAGTTTTAACACCAGGGCTTTTATTTGAACAAAGTTTGTAGACACTTACTAGAAGATGTTTCATGCTTAATATCTAAACTCTAGCTATTTGGGTTTTTTCAAAGAAGGTTTTTAAGTTTTTGCTTTACACATATTAGGAAAATCAATGACCCCCAGGGCCAATTTTGACCCCGGGGCTTTTATTTGAACAAACTTGGTAGACACTCATTAGAAGATGTTTCATGTTAAATATCTTAGCTCTAGCTCTTTGGGTTCTTTAAAAGAAGTTTTTTAAGTTTTTACTATATGCATATAAGGAAAATCAGTGACCCCCTGGGGCGGGGCCAATTTTGACCCCGGGGCTTTTATTTGAACAAACTTAGTAGACACTCACTAGAAGATGTTTCATGCTTATTATCTTAGCTCTAGCTCTTTGGGTTCTTTTAAAAAGAAGATTTTTTAAGTTTTTACTATATGCATAATGGGAAAATCAATGACCCCCTGGGGCGGGGCCAATTTTGACCCCAGGGCTTTTATTTGAACAAACTTGTTAGACACTCACTAGAAGATGTTTCATGCCAAATATCTAAGCTCTAGCTCTTAGGGTTTTTTAAAAGAAGATATTTAAAGTTTTTTCTTTCGGTTGCCATGGCAACCAGAGTTCTGCATGGAATTAAATTCTTTGAACAATTTTTAAAGGTGACCACCAAAGGAAAATTCCTGTGAAGTTTGGATGAAATTGGCTTAGTGGTTTATGAGGAGATGTCATTTAAAGTAAAAGTTTACGGACGGACGACGAAAATCGATCACAAAAGCTCACCCCGTCACTTTGAGACAGGTGAGCTAACAAATGTAGAAAATATCATTTTTCTTGTTTTACTCAAATTACTGTGTCAAGGTTCCAATGCTGAATCTGTGCAATTTCATGATAAAAAAATTTATACTAAATATTGGGCATTTACTGTTTAGATTAAGCCAGTTTTGTGATAAGAAAATGTTTACCCATTGAAATATGCTAGACTTGTCCAGGTGCTGAAAGGACATTGGCCTCTTCCAAGGTACACATCATTGAAGTTTACAGATGTAAAATGATTAAATAAACAAGAGCTGTCCGTAAGACAGCGCGCTCGACTTTTTTAGTGCTTGCCTATAATACAAAACATTGACAGTTAAGGGCCATAATTCAAATAAAATCTTTGACAGAATTACCTTCTCCTGGACATGTTTGGGAATCATGATTGTAAACAAGTATTCCAACTTTCAAATTAATATCTCAAACAGTTCAGTCAAAAAGTGGACTGGTACTAAAAACTTAACCAAGATTCTAAGTCGATAAAAGGCCTTAATTTTTAAAACAAATCCTTGACAGAGTTACCTTCTCTTGCGTACAGATGGGGGTAATGATGTGAAATAGCATTAAAAGTTTCAAAGCAATATCTCAAAGGGTTAAGGCAATAAGTGGATTTTACCCATATTCAATGTATTTTCCAAGTCAAAAAGGGGCATAATTCTGTCAAAAACCTTGACAGAGTTATGTCCTCTTGTCTGTTGATGAAGGTCGTGATGGTAAACAAGTATGGTCAGTTTCAAAGCAATACCTCCAATGGTTTTGAAATAAAGTGAGGTGGTACAAAAAACTTAACCAAGATTCTAAGTCGATAAAAGGCCTTAATTTTTAAAACAAATCCTTGACAGAGTTACCTTCTCTTGCGTACAGATGGGGTAATGATGTGAAATAGCATTAAAAGTTTCAAAGCAATATCTCAAAGGGTTAAGGCAATAAGTGGATTTTACCCATATTCAATGTATTTTCTAAGTCAAAAAGGGGCATAATTCTGTCAAAAACCTTGACAGAGTTATGTCCTCTTGTCTGTTGATGAAGGTCGTGATGGTAAACAAGTATGGTCAGTTTCAAAGCAATACCTCCAATGGTTTTGAAATAAAGTGAGGTGGTACAAAAAACTTAACCAAGCTCAATACACTTTCTAAGTCAAAAAAGGGCCATAATTCTGTCAAAAAACCTTGACAGAGTTATGTACTCTTGTCTGTAGATGGAGGTTATGATGGTGAACAAGTATGGTAAGTTTCCAAGCCATACTTGTAATACTTCTGAAATAAAGTGGGGTGGTACGAAAAACTTAACCAAGGTGTGACGCCAACGCTAACGCTAACGCCGGGGCGAGTAGGATAGCTCCCCTTTTCATAGAAAAGTCGAGCTAAAAACCATGAGAGACCAATTACAGATTATGTTAAATGGAATGGTTATAAACTATATTGATGTTATTGCATCATCATGCCAATTCCATTCAATGGAACAGTGTTTATTGATGTTATTACTGCTTCTGTTCCGATGGCTGATAAAAAGAAAAAGGAGACATTTTTACGATGCAAAAAAGATTTTTATTTTGCACAACATGAAAAACAATAGAGTGCCAAACTGTCTAAAGAAAAATGCTAATATTAATTCAGACTTTATCTACTGAAAGTTAATAATTTTATGAATAATAAAATACGGATCACTGAAATAGTCCCATAATGTATACACTAAAATATGCTAACAGTAACTTGCTTTGAAAAAAAAAATATTTTCGATGTCCTCACTCGACTTGTTTGGCAAGCAAATACACTTTTGCAGGAATTGCCTGAAGAACTATCTTTACATTTGGCATTACAGTATATTAAACAGACAGAATGAATAGAAAATTTAGAAATGACAAGTTAGTAATCATTGTTTGTCAAACAATGTGTGACTCGTGATCCAACTATGTAAAGGTACATAAAGAAAATATATAAACTGATTTAACATTACAATATTACATTGAAATATAGAATAGTTATCCAAGACTAACCAAGTCAATAACTATCCAATACGTTACTCAGTGATAGAAATTCTATTGATCCCATTTATTAAAGTTATAGTAACAGAGACTAAATCAATTTATTAACCAACGATCGAGATTTGATTAAAATGATAATGAATGATTCAGTGTGGTACATAATGGAAATAGATTCTTAATCAAATGTCAATATACACGTGAATCTTACAACAAATAAACGTATTATTGTGATATTTTTAGGCTTCCTGCATTTGTTCAACAGAATTTAAACAACATGAAAAGAAACGAGATTAGTTTCAGAGTTTAAAATCTGCCCCAGCCTCCGCCGCCGCCTCTCCCGCCGCCATATCCACCACCTATAAAACAAAAACAATACATAATAGTAACAATATTTAGTAATAATATTTCCAAATGAAAAAGGTTAAAATCAAATTTATGGGATTAAAGTACAATTAGTTTGAAAAAAACAACAACAAAAACTCAGTGTGTTAATAACATAAGAAAACAAAATATTTCCAATCATTAACTTCTTAACTGCAAATTTGGCACAAAATCTGAATTTTCATATCGCCATATTATAATGTTTAATATTTTTTACAGGCTTTTATATCATACTGAATGTATATCAAAATAAAGCAATTCAACAAGTAAATTCACATATGAATATTTATAATAATTATGTCACAAAAATTATTACATGCATATTAAAAAGGACAAGTATAAGAGGACAATTTTATTTGACATAATTTCAAACAAATATTATACAAGGGTAGTCTAATAAAATCTAACTTTATCTAAGGTGAAATAATCCTTGAATCAGTTCCCTTCCCATTTACACACTATTATATCTCCTTGACAAGAGTGAACATAGGGTTATAGCTAAATCACATGATTATCAAATTTTCAAATGTTAAAAGCACTCGATTATATTGCACACAGCTAGAAAATGTGTAAGAGTAATGACAAGTGTACAGTAGGTGACCAATCCAAAAACCAACATATAATACTATGATATGGAAAGAAAACAACTAATTTTACGAGTGAAAAATTGTTCTGGCCTGAATTTTTCATAACTTCCAAACAGAAAGAAAACGAATTGCAAAGGATAGCCTGTTCATGAGCCATCTCATTAATAAAGAAGGTGTAAAAACCAAACTGTAACAGGTGGAATAACCTACATGAAAAGAACAAAAGGTATCATTAGTAAGAAAAAGTATGTTATGCAAGTGTGACAGCTCCAGGATCTGGAGATACAAGAGAGAATCTACACTAATGGGTTTGACACAATTCCGTATTGTGGCATTACCTTGAGGTGTACCAAAAGGTTTTTTGGGAGACCCCCCAAAATCTCCTAAATTGGACTTGCGCTTCGCACCTAGTTGAAAGTTACCAGCTCCTGAGTATCCCTGGTTACCATAACCACCACCATACCCTCCGCCGTAATCTCCAAATCTAAACAAAACAAAAATATACAATTATTTAGATAAAATTTTGTACCAATAAATAAATACAATTTTTTTGTTCTTTGCTCAAATCTAATACTGTACTCTATATCCTAAGTGATAATCATTTTTTTCGCCTTCAAATTCATCAGGTCCGAATCTATTCTGAATATAAACAAGTTCCCGAATTTATGCGATCATGCCAGAAGTAATCACATGAATTGAAAATAAAGACATACCCCTCCTCCATAGTGTGCCACTCATATGCCTCCGACCCTACCATGCTCCACCACTTGCGAAATAATAACACTCCTCATTTAGCTCTCACTAACTAAAGACACAGATATGCTATAAACAACTATATGGCAAACGATGCCATAGCCATATGTCTTCTCATGTGGTAAGGTAGATGGCTACAAATTCTCTTATTTTCAATTCAAAATGGACAAGTCTTAATTCAAGAAATCAATACAGTGTACTTTCAAACTTATGCTATGATTTTATGCAGCATAAAGAGAATTTTAAGAACTTGCATCTGACCACTTATTTTTACTATCACTTATGTACCATCAACCAAGATTTTTCTTATTTAACATATCAGTAGTAATTTAAGTCTGAATATGCTTTAAAAAAAAAACAAAGGACAAATATATCAAAAACCAACACAAATTTAAATATCAATACATGTTTCGCTTTATTAGCTTCATCAGTTGATACATAAAAGAAATGACGTAAAGATATAAAATAGACGTCTATGTTTAATAGACGCCACATTTGGCATGTAAAAGGAATGTTAACTTATAATATAGTTTTTCATTTTAAATTTTGTCTAAACTGTGGTATTTTATTTTCTAACTCTACCTATGACCTTCTTGCGCGGAACTCATGGAACAGCAAGACGCGTTGCCACTGCCTGCCACCGACCCCCATAGCCACTCCACACACTATCGACGCTGGCCACCAGTTGTTTGGTCGCTTGCGTTTGCTGGTAGGTTTACCAGCTGTGGGTTGGGCTTTTCTTTCTCTCTGATATTTTAACAAAAATTATAATTTAAAAATCCATAATATACCGTTAAATTTTATTAACGAATTAATAAAGCATAGAATGTAATGATCTACTGATGGCCTTAGTGGATTTTAAAGTCTCAAGTTAAAATTAATATGCTCTGGTATGACTCGGTAGATTATGAAACTGCAAATCCTCTTTTCGCAACAGTTCCACAGTAACATTCAATCACCATAAAATATTACTTAATAAAAATTGCTTTTCAGCACAAATATACTTACCAAAATCAGGAGCTTGTCTGACTAGCTTAACTTTTTGTCCTTCAATCTCGATCGTGTTATTACCCTTCAAAGTTTCCAGAGCCTTATCAACAGACTCAAATTCCAGGCAGCCAAACCTGTTCACATGCAATATCAATAAAGTTTTAATCAATAATAATTTGTCTACAAATATAAATTTATCAAGCAGAAATTCCTTTACTTATGAAAACATAGGATATTGTAAAGGCATATTTGAGGAATAGAACTGAAATAATTTTCTCTTTTCAATCTTGGAATCAACAAAATACAGAATCAAAAGATTAACACAATATAAGACCTTAAACTTTTGAAGTATACACGTTAGAGCTCCCATAGAATAAGTCCACAGCAAATCTTGATTTCAGTAAAACATATGTTCTGTGCATACAATTATGATGTGTATTGTTAACAAATGCCCTGTGCATGTGTTTTCTTCTTTCAATTTTTTGGCAACACTGCTATGAAATATGTTCATTGCTTAATAATGGCAGAGTTACAGACAAGTCCTTTTGACTGAAAATCTACAGTATGTTTTAAGTCGAAATTGTCATTCTTTTACAAATGTGTACTGATTATCAATTCACAGAACAAGAGCTGTCGGTAGGACAGCAATGCTCGACTATTCTTAGTGCTTGATAGTAAAAAAAATGCTTGATACAGTTGCCTCCTCCTGTTTACAGGTTGGTGTCATGATGGTGAACAAGTGTGCAAAGTTTCAAAGCCATATGTCAATGGACTTTGAAAATATTTGAACTATTACAAAAACTTTAACATAAGTGGTTACGCCGACGCTCGGGTGACTACAATAGCTCTACTTATTCTTATCGAATAGTCGAGCTAATAAAAATACCAATGATAAATTAATATCAGTCTAAAATAAAATAAATTGATAAAATTCAATATGCTATAAAATAAAATTAAAGTAAACAATTTGTCAATTACCATTGGAAGTTATGCTGTCTAAGGGTAATCTCCTTGGCCTCAGGGAATTTTTCTTCCAGCTGCTCTTTGCCAGTATCCTTATCAACATAAGTCGCAAATATGCTGCGTTTCACCAAATCCACTGTTAGGGTTAAAATGTTTCATTTTAGAATGTTTACACATGTAAAAGTATACATAATATATTACAGCAATTATGTACTGTTCCATATAAATGTGCTCTTCAAAAAATCTGGAAAACTGTACATTTATGTTTGAGAGGTAATAATTGTCAAAGACTATGCAATATGCTTAAATTTCACTTTTACACAGTTCAGTAGCTATACAGACTTGTATGTATGGATGTGTATCTGTGAGAATAGTATCAATACCAGTACTAAGAATCAAAGATCTACAAACCTCTCTTTTTCTCCTCTTCTATTTTCTGCTTCTTGGCTTCATGAATCTTGACCCTCACCTCTGAAATCATAAATGAATACATTTACACAACAAACTTCAAAATGTCATTGCATTCACTTACTGTTCAAAGAAAATTTCCATCATAGGTGGCAACTTTCAATGTTTCATCAGCTTAAATTATTATCATTTTTTTTATTTATTTCATATGGAAGACATTTTAGCATCACATACATTTGTTGCTTTTGCCCTTCAAAAATAATTATAAATAACATTAACTCTGTCTGTATAGCAGTAAAAGAATGAAAATCATAAATATCAAAATCAGTATTATAAAAACTTCACACCTTCCCAGCACTTACTGCAAATACTTAAACCCAAATAGAAGATCTAGATCAACCTCAGCACTTTAAAATTTGTTGTCCTGACTTTAAACTGCTGGTCTTGTGGTGATGGACTTCCAAGATCTGTATCTGTCTGTTATTAATGTGAGTGATTTTGATATTTAAATGCTAAAATCATGCAGTGAATATTATGGAGCTTGGCCAGACTGCAAAGCCTGTCATTATTACACTTTACTGCTCATACTGGTGCGTGTGAACATTTTAGGATTACCTTCTACATGTCTTCTCAACTCATCAGGGAACTTGACAGACACATCTCTAGAGGGACTGAGCTTTAGATTTGTTAAACGATCATACAATACCAACAAGTACTCTTGTGTTCGGATTTCAAATGGCAGGGTGATATATCTGTAAACCAAAATGACAACACCACATTATACCTATGACCAAATTATGTAATCATGATCATAAATTTTACCAATAAAAAATTTATGAAGTATGAAAATTTTCTTTAAAGTCGATCAATTTAAAAAGATTAAAATGTTAAAAAATTACTGCTTTCGAACTGTGCTTTGAATCTTTGAATAATGACTACTGTAAAGAAATGATAGGCACCGAGCATTAGTAAACTCCTCTCCATCCAATATGTGATAATGACTGCTCTGCTCACTACAATCTTGCATTCAAAAGCTTTGCTTTTGATACCTTGGGCTGTTTTCTGATATTGTAATCAGTCACTTTTATTCACTTTTAAATTCAATATACTTCAATTGATTGAGATAATCATTTAAATCATTACCCTAATTTGTCAGTCTGATCTGAATCCAGGATGGGAACTGTATCAAAGGTGATATCAAATCTCCTAGCCATGGCCATAAGTTTGTTCAATTCTGGGGTTGACAAATCCTCCTGCCTGATTGGTCCAATGGTGAAAGTAATTTTGGAAACTACAAAAAAGTGAAACATTTACACAGCTGTAGCTTGTAGAGTTTATAAGACAGTTAAATCTTATTTTTTGTGACATATACCTGTAAATTTTGTTCAATATAAATAAAATATGTGTTTCAATAAATTCAAATTTACATGATCCATATTTTTTTTAGAAACAATGCTATAAAATAAATTTCTTAATAAACTATATATTGAAGATAATATTTATCTTAGAACCTGTAATTTTAAGTCATGAGATTTTAAACTAAGTCACAACTCTAAACCAACTTCTACTAAGATACACATGAAAAGGTTTCAATCTTAAAATCTTCAAAGTAAAGGCATTACAATAATTATTGATAAAATTTTACTTTTTCTAACTACTCCTGGCTTTTTCTCAACCTCCTCATGGTTTTCATTTGTGGCACCGTTTGCAGTCATTTTGCTGTAATTAATAATAGACAACAATTAATATAGCCAATTCTCCCTTTGATAAAAACTCTTAAAAAAACATTTTTCCCGTAAATCATGGGTCGACTGCAAAACTGCAGTAACTGATATGAAATAAAGGAGGATTTGTAACAGTTTTGTTGGCCAACCCTCGATATACAGAATGCAATCTTTACTTTTTGAGACTTGTGTGTAAATGGGTTTTTTTTCATTCTCTTGAAAATGGTTTTAAAAAAGTTTTATGTGTAAAAAGACTTGATCAGTGACAAATATAGATAAATATAAAATGTGAAATAACTTTTTATCTCGACTAATTATTTGGACTACTTTCACAAATAAACTTAACAGTATCAGTATTTTAATTATAATTATTAAAAAATAAATAATAAAAGATGGAAATATATATATATATATATCGAAGTGGTGGGGGGGGGGGAGTTAGTTTCAAGGCCTAGTTGACCGGAAAAGAGTCAACTCGGCCCTATACCAACTCGGCACGGGTCAACTCGGCCCACTTTACAAAAATATATATAACGTATTAACTTTGCTTTGCATGTTGTTAAGGTAAATGAATAATGAGAAATATCTTATTATTATATAATTTTATAAATAATTACAATAATTACAATAAATAGTGATAACACAAACCTAAAACTTATTAATTGAAAAGTGGGCCGAGTTGACCCGTGCCGAGTACGTTTTAGGGCCGAGCTGACCCGGATTCTAGTTGACCCGGGTTCATTTTTCTTTGTTATCTCCCTTGCATACAGTAGGGCGATCATAATTTTTTATAAACACAAGTAGTAAAAACCTCGTCAATTTAAAGCTTGCAGGTCTATCTTAAGTGTGACTAACAGAATTAAAATTCATTCAGAAGCTATAAAAAATTACTGGGTTTATCATGTTTATTTTTTTTTTACTTTTGACTTTTCCAAATTTCACGGCGCACTGATAGCCGCGTATCGAAATTTTATTTATAAACGTTCTATTCTCTACTTTGGCAGCACAAACAAAATATCAACATACACACAAAACATCTTCAATAGCTAACGTTTGCATACCTTTAGATTTTTGTGAAAAGGAGACTAAAATGATTTCTTTTTTGGGACAAAATGCCGATCACGCCGACTTCGTGTTCTCGTGGATTCTCGTGCTTTCCCGTTTTCTGGGGTGTGGAACGAAAATCTTTTTTTTCAGCGGAAAGTCGTGTTGTTATTACTGAACAATCATAGTGCATAGATCAATGTCCTATCTTATTCTAATTATCAGATTAGTGGATACAATAAGAATTTCACCACAACATAAGAAAACAAAAGATCACATGTCCATGTTTGTCGTTAAATCTATTGTTATTCAACTTAAAGGTCAGAGAAGGGATCTCTCAATTATTTCCCGTCTACAAGTACTCTTAACATTTTATGGTTATTGTACGTGTTATGTTTGTTTATTTGGTGTGTATGCAAATACGAGATGTTGATACTGTTTTCTAAGACTGTTAAACAATGAAGTCAATTGCTCAATACACTAAGTAGGTGAAGCATAACAATCAAGTTTAAAGGTACTGTGTATAATATATTTAATGTAGAATTATATTTAATGTAGAATTAAATATTAACACAATATATAAATATTTAATGTAGAATTCAATATGAAACAGTTATAATAAATAAAACCCGAAAATCGCTATAATTTGCTTAACCTTATTTAGAATTTTTGAAGTGCAACACAGATCTAGTATTGTCCAAAAAAGATCTATGCGTGGGTCAACTCTGACTCGGGAGCCACATCAAGTGACAGTATTACCCAGATGCTAGACTTTGGCGCTGACAATTATTAAAAGTATGTGACTAATTATTTCTTCGTAATAGCGGAACTATTTATGAAACGCAATTCCTTTAACATTATCTTTATAAAACTCGCCACCTTTTTATTCATTTTTTTAATCATAGGTTTTAACTTCTTAATTTTTAAAAAAGATTAATAATATCTGTTTTATTTATTTTATTTATAAACAAAACTCATGGCCCTTAAGAGCATAAGAGTGAACAATCAACAAAACAAAAAAAAAATAATACAAACATGGCATGCAATAAATAAGTAAATAAGGAAGATGGCTTATTGAAATTTCAGCATTATAGCTTTGACAAAAATGGCTAGATTAAATAAAGTATTTCTGTTGTCGCTACACATTAGAGCCTGAAAATTTAAAATACTAGGAAACCTTGAATAATAATTACTGATATACCCGTGTCTTTCATGATTAAAATAAGTACATTTAAAAATATAATGAAATTCATCACCTATTTCTTGCTGATTACAAAGTGAGCATGTTCTATTTTCTCTTTCAATACCAAAATAGCGACCTTTCTCTATAGGAATATTAGAATTGAGACATCTAAATTTACAGATGTTAAACATAGTAAATAATGTTCTAATTTAAATTGAGTTTTATATTTTCTATAGTTTAAACACTTAGCAGACTCAAAAACATCACTATTCCATACTTGTAAAAACTGATCACGTAATCGTGATTTTATTACATATTTAAAATTATTAAAATTTGCAACATTCTGAGTTATCCAAAAATCAGAACAACCAATATTATTCAAAGTAGATTTTACTTTCTCGATCCACTGACAGTAAAATACCCTTTTAACGAAGATTATACATAGTGCGGTACAAAGAAGCACATATTTTATCATTTTTACCATTAACTAGTTTACTCCAAAAATTTAACATTCTGCAAGTAATATCATTTTCAATAGGAAATGCACCTAATTCTCCCAAAACCATAACCGAAGGAGTTGACATCTTAAGTTTAAGTATATATTTATAAAATTTCAATTGAAACTGAGAAATAATAGAATTATTTCAAGATCCCCACACCTCCGACCCATACAATAATATTGGCTTAACCATACTATCAAACAACTGTAACTGAATATCAATTGGCAAACACAATTTCTTAATTTTAGTTAAAATACTAAACATAGCCTTCCTCGCTTGATCTGTCAAGTGCTTTTTTGTTTTATTAAATTTACCATTAAAGTTGAATATCAAACCTAAATAACTAAAATCATCTACAGCTTCTAGAGGTGCATTATTGAAATAAAATACAGGCTTATTTCTTAATTTACCACGAGAAAATACAACAACTTTTGTCTTATCAGTATTAACAGTCAAATGCCATAATTTACAATAATCAAGCATGCAGTTTAGTGCTGTTTGAAGGCCAGTTTGACTTTCCGCGAAAACAACTGTATCATCAGCATAGAGTAATAAGTACAACTTCAAGAATACATCAACTTCATCATTACTTAACTGTTCATATATCTGGTCTGATAAAAACTGCAACCCTTCACAATGTGTAGACATATAAGAAACCAAATCATTAAGGAAAATTGAAAACAAAATTGGAGAAAGATTTTCTCCCTGACGCACACCTAAACAGCTTACAAATGTATCTGACAATGCATTATTCACTTTAACACAAGACTTAGCTTTGTCATAGATATTATGAATAACTTTAAGTATTTTCCCATCAATATTATGTGCTAACAATTTCCTCCAGAGAGCAGTACGGTTTATACTATCAAATGCTTTCTTGTAATCAATAAAAGAGCAATACAATCTCTTTTTCTTCGATAAGTAAATATCAATCAACATTTTTAAGGAAAAAGTATGATCCGTAGTTCCATAACTATTACGAAACCCTGCCTGTTCCTCATTTAATAGGCCAGACTCTTCCAAAAAATATTTATTCTAGAATTTAAAACTGATGTGAACAATTTACCAAGACAACTTAAAATGGTTATACCTCTATAATTATCAGCATTATTTTCGTCCCCTTTGTTTTTATAAATAGGTAAAATTATACCCGTACACCATGTATCTGGAACAATTCCTGTTTCAAGTACAAGATTAAATAAGCTGCAATACAATGGTAATAACAAATCTTTTGAGTATTTTATATACTCATTCAGTATATTATCTTTAGGTAAACATGCTTTGTTATTTTTTAAAGTTTTAATAAAAATATCTGACATATGTTTGCGGTTCGGATCGGAATATCCGTCCCGAGGGGACCCGCCCAATGGGCGGTAACGAGGCTTCCCGAGTTCTAAATTTGAAAGAACGCCTCATATTTTTAGACGATATTCTTATTTATTCCGAATCTTTTGATGAACACATTAGAAGGCTTGAAACAGTTTTCTCTAGGTTAAATGAGCTTATGCAGATTATAACTTGCCATTTCATTTAAATGTTGATGCCTCGGGTCAAGGCTTAGGAGCAGTTTTATACCAGAAACAGCATGGCAAAGACCGTGTCATTGCTTATGCCAGCAGAGGTTTGAGAGGGGGTGAAAAGAATTATCCTGCTCATAAATTAGAATTTCTCTGTTTAAAATGGGCTGTCTCTGAAAAATTCCATGACTATCTATATGGAAACTCTTTTCAGGTATTTACGGATAACAATCCGTTAACATATGTTTTTACAACAGCAAATCTTGATGCTACAGGTCATCGTTGGCTTGCTGCTCTTGGCAATTACAATTTCTCTATTCATTATAAGACTGGTAAATCAAATAGTGACGCAGACAGACTTTTTCGTAAACCGCAAGAAATTATGGAATTGCCTGATGTTGTGAATACTATTTGTTATGCATCAGTAGCAGATTTTGTCCCATTTGCTGAAACTTTAGGTACTTCTGAGTTTGAGGATGATTCTCCTGAACATTTAGAAAAAAAATCTGGAAACAAAATGATCCCTCGGAAGCATTAATCACAACAAAACTACATAAGAATTGCAGACTCGGTTTGATTGAGTCCGCACATGAGGGATAATGAACAAGTGCAAAATCCCTCACGGCCCGCCCCCCAGCACCGGCCCGAGCGGCACTCAATTCTCATCACTTAATAGCGCTGGCACCAATGATCCCAAAGGACCAGAAAAACACAACAACACTGAAGTGAAGTACGGTGACAGTGACATTAATTGTTCTAAGGAGCAAGAAGCAGATTCAACCCTTTGTAGAGTTATAACATTGGTTAAATCAGGTTATCTTCCTAAAGGTGAAGCCCTTAAATTGGAAAATCATGCTGTGTCCAGGTATTTTCGTGAATGGAAAAAAACTTTCATTTACGGATCATGGTATTCTATACCAAACTAAATACATGAGATTCGAGTTTGTGCAGAGAAAATTTCTTTAAAATCTCGGACCAAAGTTAACCAGTACTCTACTTAAAACAAAGTATTGAAAAAAATCAATGAATATCAGCGAAATTTATCATGAAAGACAAGTATAAAAGTTATGAAAAGAAAAACCACAATGGAAAATTGAAGTTTTTGCTTTGAACTGTCAAAATGACATTTGATGTCAAAATGCAGTAGTGAAAGAAGTGGGAAATGTGAATGAAAAATGCTATATTATGTGTGCATACTATAAAATCACTGTTTGTCGTTTGGATGCACATTAGTATATCACTCGAGCTACGCCCTTGTGATAAAATTCCTCGCATTCGAACTCTAAACAGTGATTTTATTGAACGATAAAATCACTGTTTGGGATATATTATCTCTTAAATAACACACACTTTCGGCTCTTCTATGTTCAATAGGGAAAAATGCGGGTCGTGTTAGAATATATAATAATTATGAAAAATGTAAAATCCTATTTGTTGTTAATAAGTTTACTCTAGCCAAAACAACGGATGAGGGGTAAAGTGTCTTACTATTTTTCAGAGTGGGGTGGGGGTGTGTGGTGATGGGCAGTGAAGTCTCTTGAGGGGTGAACTGTCATCTTCCCCTTATTGACTTAGCTGCAGTAAATAAACCATCTTTGTCCTGGATAACAAAATCCATTAAAAAATTAATTCATAAAAGAGACCAGCTCTATAAAAATATTAAAAAAACAAAACAAATAAAAATAAATCTGATCATGATCAATGGCTAAAATTTAAAAATTTGAAATCGCAAATAAAAGCTAGAATTAAACAATCATATGAGTCTTACTTAGAAAACATCCTGAACCTTGCAGATGATGATGATGATGATGAAACTAATACACAAAGTAAAGTATGTACCAAAAAACTATACACACTTATAAAAAAACTCTAAACAAGATTCACAAAGTGTGTCTCCATTAAAAGATCAAAAGTCTGGTTCTCTCAAAATTAATAACACTGAAAAAGCAAACATTCTTAACAAACAATTTCAATCAGTTTTCTCACCAATTATACCACTTACACTTAAAGATCAATGCATACAAAAACTGAGACTCATGGATCCCAGAAAGTATTGTCAGTACCCACAAATGAATGACATCATCATCAGTAGGGCAGGTGTACTAAAGCTCCTCGCCAACCTCAATGCCAACAAAGCTGCCGGCCCTGACAACATTAGACCAATTGTCCTGAAGGAGCTGAGAGAAGAGATTGTTGACATCGTTGCAGTTCTTTTCTAAAAATCCCTGACCACCGGTAATATTCCCAATGACTGGACCCGTGCAAACATATGCCCTGTCTACAAAAAAGGTGATACAAGTGATCCTGCAAACTATCGCCCAATTTCCCTTACATGCATCCTCTGTAAAACACTTGAACACATAGTTGCCTCTCAACAATCCTCTCACTTTACCACCCACAACATACTCTTTGATCTTCAGCATGGATTCAGAGAACCGATCATGTGAGACACAACTCATTGAACTTACTGATTACCTTGTGAACAACCTTTCAAATGGCAAACAAACAGATCTCATACTTCTTGACTTGTCCAAAGCTTTCGATAAAGTAAACCATCTTAAACTCTTAGATATCCTTCAAGAATATGGTGTTTGTCCTCAAATTCTAAACTGGATACAGTCCTTCCTTATTGGCCGTAGACAGACAGTAGATGTGGATAGTGACTGCTCATCTGAAGTTCCAGTTACCTCTGGAGTGCCCCAAGGCTCTGTCCTAGGGCCCCTTTGTTTCTTTCTATATATCAACAAGCTACCATCTTCTGTCCTTAAATCCCAAGTCAGATTATTTGCAGACGACACTGCTGTATACCTAACCATCAATTCCTCCTCAGACCCCCCAACTCTCCAACATGATCTTGACAATATGGTTCTGTGGGAGAAGCAGTGGGACATGGAGTTTAACCCTTCAAAAAACCAAGTCATCCATATCACCAAAAATAAAACCATAATTAAACACAAATATATGCTCCATTGCCAAGTCCTAGAGTCTGTTACAAATGCTAAATATCTCAGACTAGATCTATCTGCTGACCTTAAATTTAATACACATATATCTCGAATAACTTCAAGTGTAAACAGATCCCTTGGCTTTAATAAAAGAAATGTCATTACTAAAAATGAGAAAGTGAAAGAACTAGCATACACGTCCCTGGTCCGGCAACAGGTTGAATATGCCTCAACTATTTGGTCTCCTTACACTAAAACCAATATTGACAAAGTTGAGATGATCCAGAGACGTGCAATAAGATGTGTTAAAAGGGATTACTCACCTCACTCTAGTGTCACAGCCATGCAGGAAGAACTGGGCTGGCGATCCCTTGAACATCGCAGATTGGACTGTAGACTGATAATGTTTTATAAGATATACCATAACCTAGTTGCAATTAATCTCCCAACATATGTTCAAACCCCACATAGATTAACCAGACATTTGCACCCCTTATCCCTACGCCAAATACAGGTATCCTCCGACCGGTTGGTCTATTTACCCCAAGACACCCCAAGACTACCCCAAGACACCCCAAGACTACCCCAAGACACCCCAAGACTATCCCAAGACACCCTAAGACTACCCCAAGACACCCTAAGACTACCCCAAGACACTTTGTTTAACTGATATGTAATTACGATCTTATTTTACAGTGTTCACCGACTACCATAAGTACTCTTTCTTCCCTCAAAGCATTATATACTATGGAATAAACTTCATAGTAACATTGCCACCCTGCCCAACCTGAGTCAGTTCAAACAGGCAGTGGTGGGTTTGCAGTACTAGTCTTACTCCCAGTGTTTTTAAACTATTTTATCTCTTATCATCTTGTTTCACTATTAACATTTTAACCATGACTAGAATGCATTTTCAGTCTCACCTTCAAAGCATGTCTATGTTTGGACTTTTCTTTTTTAGCTTTTCTTTTCACCTTTTACTAACAATCCGACGTGCACTAAATTCCTGCCTTTAACACTCGTAAGAGGGTTTGGCAGTATCCAGAAATAGATAGATAAATATGGATACCGAAAACAAGCAATTTTGCGGAAAATAAGATCGAGACTACGAAAATAAGATTGTCATGACCACAACCCCCCTTTCCTGTTTAATTTCTTAGAGAAGTCTTTTCGCGTAATAGCTGTATGGTTCTGTATCTTTTGTTTAATTGTTTATCGTTGGGGTCAAATTTTCGTTGCCTCCCTTGACTAATGCGCGGATTTCGAATTCAACTTGAGCCAATATTTATTTTCTGCACACAAAAATGAATGTTGACAGTCCAGAAAACGAGTGGGAACTAAGTAAAGAAAACGTTCAACCTCTTAGACAAGGCCGGAAAATCTCAAGTTTGAATGCAGGATTAAAAGTTAATACAGGCGATCAAATTTCCAGGATAAAAGACGAAAAACAGTAAATTTTATATGATTAATAGTCTAACAAGTGTCATATTAAAAAATGGTTTGTAATCAATGTTGTGATTATCTTTCGATTTCCACCATCCATACTGGACCTTATGACGCAATAAAAAAAGCCCAATCTCATTAAAATCGAGAGAAATAAGAATCATTTAAGAAGAATCCGGGTCAGCTCGGCCCTAAAACACACTCGGCCCCCGAGTCAGCTCGGCCCTATGTCAACTCGGCCCACTTTTCATATTTGTGTTATCACTATTTATTGTTATTATTGTAATTATTTATAATAGTTTTAATCCACGGATTGACAGTTTCCGAATTAGCAGCAGACAGGCTTTTCTTATCTGTAGAATTGCGAGTAAAGATAACCGATTGCGTAACTCACTGTATTTCTGACTAGTGGTAGGTTTAATCGTAAATTGTGCCAAACAATGTGTTGAAATATATTCTGAGAGGAAGCTAAGATCACCAGCTTTTAATTGATTTAATAAATTTTAAAATCGCACATTTAATAGCCCCAAACTAGCGATTTAAACACGGCTAAATTTGCATTCTTTAGCAAGCGAAGGGAAACTAAGGGAAATAACTCTTGTTTTTTCACTTGATTTACCTCGGTTATTTACGTAGTTCATAAAGAGACAGACAGAGAGAGTTGAAAAATATAACAAAGAGCAAACAGTGCTTTATATTAAAATTATTTATTTATAAATTATATTCTAATTATACTTTATTTCGGCAGAAGTACAATGTTATTGTTAATATGAATGTTAATACGTTATATATATTTTGTAAAGTGGGCCGAGTTGACCCGTGCCGAGTTGGTATAGGGCCGAGTTGACTTTTTTCCTTTAAGAAAGCCCAACACGGCAAAAATTATTGAAAATGTTGCAGACTCCGTTTGATTGAGGCTGTTCATGGACGGTGCAAACTACCATCCAAGCCCCCTAACACTGGCTTAAGCAGTATTCAACATGAACGATAAGTGGAAGTGATGTAGGAGTGTCTTTTCTTATTAAAGACTTCCCTTTGTAAAGGCCAAGGTCATACACAGTCTGTGGGAACATTTCGCAAACCTGAAAATAAAGTTTGTCAGAATTATCATCTTTTCGGAGCAAAGTCAAATTGGTTAACCAGGTATCTTTAAACACTTTAATGCGTTTGCGGTCATATTCTTTGTCTCTCTGGCTCTGCATTTTTGATTTACGCTTTCAGATTCTTCTCAGACCTAACAGAAATTTATTCCATTTTGCATCAAAACAATTTACAAGGCAACAACGTATATATGATGCTGTTCATTATTTACTAAGGCACTTGTCGCTTGCATTGATACGACCAATCGCCAAGCTTGTTTTCCAAAAGAAGCGAGAGGCCTCATACAGCGTGAAATAGCATCATATAGTAAAGATTTATTTGTCTGTTGGAGATGTTGTACAAATTAAATTCATGCATTGTAAACATGGATTATACAACATCAGGGGGAAATTTAACGTTCATGATCAAGAACACTTAAAATTTTCAGCATTTTGCTTTTTTGTGACTCAGAAATTCACTTGTCTGCAGACAACTGCTACTTGAAAATCTACTTGTCCGCCGGCAAAAAGTCAGGCATAGTAATTCCGCACCCCTGATGAACTGGTAAAATTTGGAATTTTGAAACATTCCCAGATGTGTTCATATGGATTCACAGATGTGTTCATATGGCGGTTATCATGGAACCTTCAATGTGACATGTTAGTGCCATTCCATGAAAAGCGGCATATGGTCCTCAAGTAAAAAAAAAGCATGTGACCTAAACAAGAAAACAAGGGGTGGAACTAAATAAAATGGAATTTTAAAAGGGATCGAAGGTTATGAAGCCTGCATATCACAGATATGACGTCAAAAGACAAAATTTAAAAAGCAGCCCACATATCCTAAGGGTGATTCAACAGTATTCAACAGGGCTTCTGTTAATGGAAGTTTGAGAGTCATTTACTCCTTGATTTGGCTTGTGACTTCAAAATCTAATGCTTTTACTTCTAAGCCTATATAATGTGACTTCCAATAATAGAGATTTTGTAGTCTCTGACTTCCAAATTTTTAAACTTAATGGAAGTCCTGATTCGAGTGAGGAATACTGGAACCACCCAGCAAGAAAGTGTGTTCTGACAGTGAAATACAACATAAATTTTCCCATATTGACAGCTTCGTTGAATTATTTATTTCTCAGTGCATTACATTTTGATATTTATATTACTATTAAATCTTCTTGCAGCGTTTTTGAAGCAGAGCTCAGAACATATTCTGGAGATGACCCTATTGAGGTTTGGTATAGGTAAGAATTAAAGTTATAATTTTATGATCAATTATGTGATATATTTTTTATATTAATCACTATTACTAGCCTGAAGCTATCAGGGATTGAAAATTCTACTTGCCTGCTTGTATTTTCATGTAAAATCTGAGAAAATTTTCATGACGTTATTGTTCACCCTTATATAGTGGTAAAGAACTTGCTAAGCCACCAGTGTAGATATACATTATTCTGCATATTTATGCAGTATGGTTTATGGCTTTCCAGATTTATCATTTTGCAAATGAAAAATCCCTAGGACAACAAATGGACTGTTCCAAATTCAAGGCAGGGCAAGTCCATTATACAAATTTAGCAGGGTAAGTGCTTATGGATGAAAATCCAAGTGAAAACATTGAATATTTTGTCTTTGAAAGTTGATATTTATTGTATTATTGTTGTTATCAGATATATACTATGGGCGGAGCAGACATTTCCCAAAGGAGGTCGGGATTCTAACTTGACCACAATATTAGAGAGATGTGTAAGGCAGTTTAGAGAAGTGGAGAAGTACAGCAATGATGAAAGATATATTTATGCCTGGATGAAAATGGTATACCTATCTTGAAATTTATTGTTTTGGGTATTTTTTGTGTGACCGAAACATTTTAGGAAACATACTCCTGATTATTATTTTGGTGTGTATGGGGGGGGGGGTGTTATCTTTTTTTATTTCAATGGCATTAGGCTAGGCCAGCTAAGTATCTATCTCTATTTACTGCATCACACCGTTCTAAATTATTTTGTGCAGGTGTGCAAGAAGTTTAAAATGTAATCTTTAACTTACACCTTCAGTACTTCAGAACAATTATTACATATAAAAATACTTGAGCACATATGGACATTATATTTAACAAATAAAACATGGCCTTGAGGGCAATATGCAAGTTTACGGACTGGTTGGTCAGACTGAGGAAGGTATATGGCCCGAAGCGCAGCTGAGGGACATATACCTTCCGAGGTCTGACCAACCAGTCCGTAAACTTGCATTTTGCCCGAAAGGCCATGTTTTATTTGTTATATTATACCGAATCTAAATCATTTCATCCCTTTTGTTGCTGACATTTTTACTATAATTTTCTAATAATAATTTATTTGTTCAGTGTGTGAAATATTTCAAACCCTAGTCGGAATTATTATTATAATTTTAAAGCGATACAGCAAAAAAAAATCATGCTCTTCTTTTGTTATTCAATTTTTAAAAATCAAATTAAACAGGCAGAAAACGAACTTTAAGATTTAATATGACGTCATCCAGTCCATATAAGAATTATGGACCGCCCCCGGTCTGTATGCGGTTTATGGACCGGATGACGTCATATTAAATATAGAAGGGCGTATGCAAATGAGGTATAATATTTTTTAATATTACTAGTTTGGTATCATATACTTGAGCACATATGGACATTATATTTTCTAATATAACTAGTTTGGTATCAAAATATCAACACATCAGTAATGTAAGGATTGCTGGCTGTGTTCCCCAAAACTCCCCATCAGAGACAAGCCATTGTTTCTTACAGAAAGTAACTTTACACTCATTGCTTTGTAACTGTTGGTTTTAGGAAATGATTTAAGAGTGTAGGTAAATGCTGCCAATACAAACTTAAATAAATTGTGTATGAAATAAAATAACTGACATTAGTAATAGACAGTTTTTTTGCTCAAAGTAAAAATTCATTATGCAAATTTAGCGAAGTAATGTCCAAAGTGGCATTTAAAGAGCCACATTGAAGAAAGTCTTATTTCATTCTAATAAATGGAAGGAAATTCTTGAGAGAGATGACCATTGGGTAGAAACATTTAATTTATAAATATTTTTTTTTTTGTACAGGCTGATGTGTGTAATGATCCACTGGAAATTTATAGCTTCATGTTTGATCACAATATTGGTTGTGAGCTCAGCTGTTTTTACGAGGGATGGGCTAGCTTGCTGGAACAGCTAGGCAACTACAAGAAGGCTGACTCTGTCTATCAGAATGGTCTAAAGAGAAATGTTAGACCATATGAGAACCTGAAACATAGACATGAGTAAGTTGCTGTCAACTACCAAGACACTTCCTTTTTTGGGGGGATTGATTACATATATGTAATATCATTTTGTTTTATAAGAATCTTTAGCTCACATGCCTTGCACTGACCCATGATTAGGGTTTTTGGCAATCTGTCATCCACAATTTTTACATTTGACATGGTTGTTATGGAAGTAACTGGATGCTAATGGAAGACAATGGTTGCTAGGTATGGCTTTAACCACAAAATGAGACGCCATATGATTTATGTTACTGATTTCAAATCATTTCACACCAAACAGATATTTATGTGAATAAGCCATTTCACAGAAGGTTTCGGTTCTATTCAGGTGTCACACAAATACACACTCTCTAAAATATTTCTTCTTTTGATTATACAGCAGAGATTTCAAAAAGACAAACTTTTTTGTCTTACTGATTAGCAGGATTTGCTTTATACAGTAGTTTCCATTCTATTTATAGAGATTTTCAGAAGCGTGTAGCTCGCAGAATGATGAATGGTGGAGATGATTGTACTGATGCCTCGGAGGAAGCTGAAGGTCAACATAGGCAAGTGTTGTCACAGCTGAGAACAATAGGAAAACAAAAGAAAGCACCTGTTGCTAGGACAGGCAGTGCAGTACGAGGTAAAAAAATCAAATTTTTTAAATTGCCTAAAATGTTTAACAATAAATTTGGAAAACGTTTATGTTAAGAGCTTTCATTTAAATAAACACTATCAAGAAATTATGTATTATTGATGCAATTTCTAAAAGTCTATTACTCTTTAAAAAAAGTGATATTCAGTAAAATTCCTGTTATACGACCCTCTCTAATAAAGGCGCAACACCCTCAGGTTTTTGATAAGCAAAAAAAATTTCCAGTGGCATTTAATAGGAATTTTACGGTCAATGAAAATTTCAGGGAACAAATGCTTAAAAAATGGTGGCTCCTTAGAAAAGATGTTGTCTTGAAAAATTCATTGATATCAGTTGTGAACAAATAAAACACAAGTGCTCTTACTATGCCTCTTTTCCTTAAAGTGGAAGAATACATGTATTTGTATTACATTGTACGAGTAAGCCTTAGCATATATGATATATCTGGCCTTGTTTAGTAAATATCAAGAGAATGCTTTGCCATACATTCAGATTATTACCAAGAGAATGGTTTGCCATACATTCTGATTAATACCTAGAGAATGCTCTGCCATACATTACAGTCTTCAGGCTTGGTTGGAAGGTTGGTAATACCTGTATAGACTAGATGGTTGCCATAAATGACGGGCGTACATATTTTACAAATTGCCCTTGTTCACATTAAAACATAAGCTTTTCAACAATATAAGTTGCATGTTAGAGGCAATCATTGACGGTGCATGTATAGTTGTGATTAACATTGTATGTGTTGTTTCTAGAAATGTATTGGAAAAAAATCTAGATTGTGTGACATCCTGCATGATGTTCTACATTATTTGATTGCAACAGTATTTCTCTCCCTTGAATTACAGGCAGTGCTGGTGCATTAACTGGTGCCCGGCAAAAAATCACACCACAAGTGGGTTCATCCGGGATACAGATATTCTGTGATGAGAACCAGGACCCAGCCTCACTTCCACCACAAACAGGTCAGTGGTCATCAATCCCTAAACGTGATGTGACAAACAAAGAGAATGAGAAAAAGGCTGGTGTTTGGACAAAGACAAAGCTCAAGGTATGTTTCTTTTCTGGCTGCTTTCTTGAAATGATAAGTTTAGTCATGATGTTAGTCGGAAACAGTAAATGAATGTGTATGTAAGATAAGACCAGAATTTAATTTTGTTTATCTATGGACTTATAAATAACAATGACAAATTTGTTTGCATTTCTTTTGTTTTTAGCTCACCTGTCGCAAAGTGACAGGGTGAGCTTTTGTGATCGCTTTTCGTCCGGCGTCCGTCCGTCCGTAAACTTTTACTTTAAATGACATCTCCTCATAAACCACTAAGCCAATTTCATCCAAACTTCACAGGAATGTTCCTTTGGTGGTCACCTTTAAAATTGTTCAAAGAATTTAATTCCATGCAGAACTCTGGTTGCCATGGCAACCGAAAGAAAAAACTTAAAATATCTTCTGTTAAAAAACCCAAAGAGATAGAGCTTAGATATTTGGCATGAAACATCTTCTAGTGAGTGTCTACCAAGTTTGTTCAAATAAAAGCCCTGGGGTCAAAATTGGCCCCACCCCAGGGGGTCATTGATTTTCCCTATATGCATATAGTAAAAACTTAAAAAATCTTCTTTTAAAGAACCCAAAGAGCTAGAGCTAAGATATTTAGCATGAAACATCTTCTAATGAGTGTCTACAAAGGTTGTTCTAATAAAAGCCCTGGAGTCAAAATTGGCCCAGCCCCGGGGGTCATTGATTTTCCTTATATGTGTATGGCAAAAACTTGAAAAAACCCAAATAGCTAGAGTTTAGATATTAAGCATGAAACATCTTCAAGTGTCTACAAAGTTTGTTCAAATAAAAGCCCTGGGGTCAAAACTGGCCCTGCCCCAGGGGTGTCATTGTTTTCAACTATATGTATATAGTATCTTCTTTTAAAAAACCCAATGAGTTAGAGGTTACATGTTTAGCATGAAACATCTTCTTGTGGGTGTCTACCAACTTTTTTCAAATAAAAGCCTTTGGGTTAAAATTGGCCCTGCTGGGGGGGGGGGGGGGGGGGCAGCAGAGGTCATTGTTTTTCATTATATGTGTGTAGTAAAAACTTAACATCATGAAAACCCCTTCTAATTGGTGTCTTCAAGTTTTTCCCAAAAAAAAAGCCCGGGGGGGTTTTAAAACTGGTCCCCTCCGGGGGCCTTTTTTACAGGGAGCGACCTTAGGGCCATCAGGGCCCCTCTTGTTTTTTTATTTTGTCAGGGAATGTAGTTTGGAGTTTAAAAGGGAAAAAGAATTAAAATTTTAAAATTTTATTTAAAGGGTTAAACCCAAACCAGTAGTGGGAGTAAAATTTTTTTAAAAAAAGAAACTGAAATAATCCCCTTTTTTTCCTTTTTATACCCCATTTTTTAAAAAACAGTTGGTTTTTTATAAAATCCCCCGGGTGGGCAGAGGGACGCCCAATTTTTGTCCTGAGTATCTTTTACCCATGGGGAATTTTTAAAAACAAAGGGAAATTTTTTTTAAAACTACATAAAAATGTATGTTTCACCAATATGAGGAGCCGTGTCGCAGGCAGGGCCCAGGTCCCCCGGGTTTTAAAGTAAAGGTCACACTTAGAGCCCCATTGAAAAAAACTTGTTTTGAAGAAAAACCAATGTTCCCTTGTTGTCTTGTAAAAACCCTAGATATATTTTTTAACTTTTGTTAAAGATAAAAATTTAATTAAATGTATAATGTATTTTAAACACATGGGTTTCTTGTTTTTACAAGTAAGTCTACCCCTATTTGTTCCTTTTCCCCAGATGTAAACTCTTAAAAAACAGCTTTTTCTTCTCTGAAACATTTTAGATGAGAAAATGATAAAAGGTTTAAAAGGTATTTATTTTTGACTTAAATGACTTATTAATTCCTGTTTTTTATTATGCCCCCCCCCAGGGAAAAGGGGCCGGGGAAAAAAATTAAAAAAGTGTTACCCTTGTTCTGTTTCGCCCTTTTCCGTCTTCTGTCTTTCCGTCATCATCGGTTCCGTTCTTATTTTTAAAGTAACGGGTTGAAAAACCCCAATTAAAATAAAATTTTGAATAGGGAAAATTTTCCATAAAAATTTTACGGGCCCCAAGTTCAAATTTTTGGTTTCATGGCCCCCAAAATGTTTTTTGGGCAGGTTATCCCCCTTTTCCACTTTAAAAAAAATTATGAAATTTTATTTTCCCGTTCATTTTCTCCCAAACAGATAAACACTTTCCCAACTAAAACCCTTAAAAATAGGAAATTTGCCCATGATAAAATAAGGTCGGGTTTCGAATTTGGGTCTTTGGTTTCGATGTTTTTGGCAGATTTAGGGCCCCTTTTACTTTGAAAAAAATTGAATTTTAAATTTTCCCCGTTTCATTTTTTCCCCCCAAACGGTTAAAAACACATTCAACTCAAATTTGAAAATAGGGAAAATGTAAAAGGAAATCCCGCAGGTAAAGTTAAATTTTTGGTAAGGGTTTAAATTGTTTTTTGGCCCGAGTTATGCCCCCTTTTCATTTTAAAAAATTAAATATAAATTTTAAAGGTTTCTTTTTTTAAAATCCCCCACCGGTAAAAACACTTTTAAAATAAAAATTTTGACAAAAATGGACATTTTTTTGGAAATCCCCGGGCCAAGTTCAAATTTTGGGTTTCAGGGTTCAAGTTTTTTTGGCAGAGAAAAGGGCCCCTTTCATTTTGAAAAAAAATATAAAATTTACGGGTTTTTTTTTCATTATCTCCCCAACAGTTTTTACATATTCAACCCCAAATTTGACAAAATGGATATGTAAAAGGAATGGGCAGGTCAATTTTGGAAATTTGGTCAGGGTTCGATGATTTTATTGGGCAGAGTTTATGTCCCTTTTTCACTTTGAAATTTAATATAGATACATCTTAGGAATAAAGCAGCAGTTTAAGTTTGAATTTGGTCGTGGTTCAATGATTTTGGACAAACTTATCTTTTCTTGAATGTTGGAAAAATTTTTGAACTTTCAGGTTTCATCATTTCATACTTTTTGTGGAAAATGTATGTAGCCCATTATTTTGGCCCCACAAATTTTATGAAATATTGCCTATTTTCCCGAAGGTTTAAGAACCTGAATAATTTTCAGTGCCCCGTTTGAACTTTATGGGAAATTGTTTGTGCTTTAACATTGAAAAGTTTTAAGGGCTTTGAACTTAAAATGAAAAAAATAATTTGTGCAAACAAATTTGGAACTAAATATTATAACATCTGAAATTTTGGCTGCATGCGGGGGCATCCGTGGCATGATGACACATTTCTAGTTGGAAATTAGATGCGAGATTTTTTCGCAAAGTAGCTCATTCACGAAAAAGTAACATTTTTAGTAAACATTTGCACTTTATGAAAGATTCTCGTAGTGCTATATTATGTGCCTGGAATCTTAGAATACAAGTGTTTAATTCATTAGGTTTGTTTACATATTTTCTTACATTATTTGGAAATTTTGTCCAAGGTAGTAGGAACACACTTTATATCTTGTTAATTAAATGGATCTAAGTTTATCTCTTCACTGTTATCATTGTCCAATTGCTTAATTTTTCTCGGTTTTCATGACAATGATTAACATTAATAAAGAATTATTTTGATAACAGCTACATGATTTATAAAAGAGATTATTTGATAACAGGATCATTCAAAATTGTACTGTAAAGATTTTGTTTCATTTTATATGCTACTTTCTTACATTTGCAGGAATTTGCATTTAGTTTGTTAAAATAAGCTCTTAATTTTATCAAATATTTTTGTTTCTGTTTCAGAACACCAGCAAAATTACCAGAGATTGGAAATCAAGTTCTAAGGTAATAATTTCTTATGCTGATGAAGTTCTAACTTCAGGATATTCTAATTATTGTTTTTGCCTTTGAAAATAAGTGGGGTTTCTGTAGTTAAGATGTGTTAAGTCAGTTTGTATGCATAATGTCAAGTTGCCTGCTTTTACAGATGTGATATTGAATATTCTGTTATATTTGTCAGGTTTGACTGTTGTCGTATTTCTAAGAGAATACTGTATGAAGGGGACCACTATTGTGATATTGAACCATTTGGAAATTTTTTTTTATAGAAACATGTATTTCCTGTTACTAAATAATATCCGGATTTTTTCACACTGAACATTTTAAAAAAAGTTGTAGGAAAGCAGACAAGTCAACAACCAGTAGTGTTTTACGAACGATGACGTCTGCTCAGGACAAGAGTGAGCAGGCGATGTATTGTAAAGATAAGATATACTGCGGTGCAGAGGAATACTCGTTTGAGGAGTTGCGTGCAATTCGCTGGGTGAAAAGAAAAGAACGAGAGGAGGAGGAAAGAGCTGTACAAGGTATTAAATAACTTAAAAAACAGGTTTTGAAAGGTTATACTGGTTGGAGTGATAATCTAGACACTAAAGATACATGCCAGCTATATGCACGCTTTAGAAAATTATGGAAATTGAAATGTCTGTATCATTTATTCTAGTGAATCCAAGTAAAAATCAGGATCAAGATCAGAATCAAAATTTAAAAGTCAAATATTCTCCATTATTTATCCTCCTAGATTAAATATTTAATATTAACTTGATAAAACTGGACTTGAAATAGAATGTTTGTAAAATTTTAGAATTCATTTATTGTTATTTTTGCAAGATATGGGCATTTTACAGTTGATTCAAATATTGGTCTTGATCCAGAAAATTAGCCTTATTTTTGATCCAATTATTTTTGTTTTTGATTTGTTATTCATATATTTTATCCCTTAATAGATTTGTTTCTTTGCAGGTCAGCAATCTTTTACATTTTGAATATGTACCATTTAATTCTAGCAACATATGCACCATTTGAGTTTCATAAAACAATAAAAATAAAACCAGGATCACTGGATTCTGATTCTGGTCTTTTCTTAGTAAACACGGACGGAGCCAGACTTATAAATTTTTTTTGTAATCTCTTTACCGTTGATGCTATCATATGCTGGAAATTTTTTCAAAAGGGTTTTTGTTTTATTTGGTATCCAGGGCAGCGCCCTGGCAAGCTTTCACCCAAAAGAAACAGAAAAATTTTTTTAAAGACTGAGGGGAGGAGGGGTAGGGGTAAACCCGCCCGAGATTTCCCGTTTCAAACCCAGGAGAAAAACCAAAGTTGATGCTGAGGAGAGGTTGTTACAAAAGAAATTCCCATTCCCTTTTTCCCTTTTCCTTTTCTGTTTATTTGGTATCCAGAGAAAAAATATTACCCATTTTCATTTCAAGTAAATAAAGGGAGGGGGAAAATTTGACCTTTATTTTTATAAAGGGGTTTAAAGCCCAAATTTTTCCCAAAAAAAATGGGGAAAAGGGATAAAATTTTTTTTGAAAAATAATTTTTTTTGCAAAAAACATTTTTAAATACCCTACATGTATTTTGATTTTTTGGATGTTTTTTAACAAAAATTTTTGAAAAAGAAAATTTATTAAAATATATACAAAAAGGGCATTTAGTGTTACATTTCCCTTAAAAACCCGAACTTGACTATTTAAGGGCCCCAGTTTGGGGGGCTTTGGGGGAGAAAATTTTCATTGGTAAATTTTTGCAAAGTTCAAAAAATCAAAAAACCTTTTTTGAAAAAAAAATAAACCAAAAATTAAATTTTGCCTAAAAAATTTTTGTTAATTCTTTTCAAAATTTTTAAATAAAAAGGCCCGAGAAAAATATCACAAAAGATTCACTTAAACTGTACTTTGCTGAAAAAAAAAAAATCCGTTAACTGGTCAAAAATTTGAAAAATTCCCGGGGGCGGATTTTAATGCGGGCATGAACTGCAGTATGTAGCAAAATACACACGATTGCAGTCCTGCTTAACTTTCCAGAGAAACTTGAAATATTACTCTAGGAAGGGAGGCTGCTTCATCAAGTAATCGTCTTGCTATAGTGTTTGTTTACATCTCAGCTTAAATTTTAGCACAGCGTTTACAGCGTCCTTTAGCAATGACTTTATTGTAAAAGCCTACAAAATTTCTTCCCCTAAACCCCCAGGGCAGGGATTTTTTGCGGCTTTAATTTACAACATACAGATCTTTAAGCATTGCTGAACATTTCTTGTACCACTTATAGAAATCTTAAATGATAAACCCAATATGTGAAAAATTTTTGTAAGGGTTAAATGAACCCAAAAACCAAAAAAACCCCTTTCAAGGGCAAATTAAGGCCCCCCCCCAACCGGGGCCCCAAAAAGAATTTATGTTTTTGAAGCCCACCAAAGGGGAAAAAAATTTAACCCGTAGGCCCCCTTTTTTTTGGGTTTCCAAAATAGACTAAAAAAAAATTTTTTCTTATTAAAATTATTTAAAATATTTTTGAGGGTTTTTAAAAAATATTTTTTTGAAACATAATATCCTAAATTGGACTTTTTTAGCTCCCCTTTCAAAGAAGTAAATTCAATGTTTAAAAAGTTTAAAAGCCCCTTTTTCCTTTATTGTTTTGCCCTGGTAAACCCTTTTTTAAAAAAAATTATCTTTTTTCTCAAAATTAAATTTTTTTAAAATATTTCAATTTAAAAAAATTTTAATTTAAAATTAAAATTTTTAATTTTAAAAATTCCCCTTTAAAAAAAGAAATAGGCCCCCAAAAAACATTAAAAATTAAAAAAATTTTCAAAAATTCGGAAATCAAAAACTTTTTTGGTTTTTTTTCCCGGGCAACCAAAAATGATTTTTTAATAAGGGGGTTAAAAAAATGGGACAACCTTATTTGGGCGAATTTTTGGGAAAAAAACAATATTAATTTTTTGCCCCTGAAAAAACTTTCCGGGGTTCAGATTTATCCTTTCCATCAATATTAAATCCCCGCAAAATTCCTATTAAGCAAACAAATTTCTTTTAAAAGGGATTATTTTCCAGGATTGTAAGGGTTTTTTTTTCAAAATTTTTTTTGTTTTTATACGCCCGTTTGAAAAAAAGGGAAAGTATTATGGGGGGCCCCCCCGGGGGGCCCTGGGGCCCCGGCGGTTCCCCCTTTTTGGGCCCGGGACATATTTTTCCTTACATGTATTTGGAGGGGATTTTAAAGAAACTTCCCCTAATTTAAATGTTACCAACTATGGGGGGCAGAGTGTTCGCGGGAAACCATGACCAGGTCTCTAAGGTCAAAGGTCAAAGGTCACACTTAGAGCTCATTGGAAAAATGCTTGTACGGAGGCAAAACTTCACATTGTATAGAGGGATTTCAATAATACTTTTGGCACAAAATGTTCACCATTGTGGAGGCGGAGTGGTCGCAGTGCAAGATTTTCAGGTCCTTGCGGCCAAGGTCCAAGGTCAAAACATAGAGGTCCCCAAAAGTTCAGATAAAAATTATGAAGATGTGTATATGGACCATTTAGTCATCATTTATTGAGGGATTGTAACACAAATGGTTCATTATCAAGACTATGGCTGTGATACATATAATTTAGGTCAATATATAACAAGGTTCAAGGTCACTAAAGGACTGATTTAAATATCCAGAAATTTTTGTAAATTTAGGGAATTTTAATCAAAGGGAGACAACCCAAAAGTTATTACTTTGTTCTAAATGACTTACACAAAAAAAAATTTTTTACCTTTTTTTTTTTTTCCCCCTTAATCTATTTTCACTTTCAATTTCTTAAAAATAGAATTTAATCAAAGGGCATGAAAATAATCCTCTTTCTTGGAACTTTGAGTATGTTCTAAAGAATGTAACATTTATTTACACATGTTTCATTCAGTTGGTCAAGATTCTTAACTGTGAAAAACTATGGTGTTCTGGTAAGACTTTTGGTATTTGTTCATAAAGATCATACAGTAATTACCTTATCAATTAAATTACCTAATAAAACTTTCTATAGAAATTTTTAATTATATTTTAATTTTCAAGTAAATATCAGTTCAGCTCATTCAAAGATTTAAGAATTGTAAATGAAATGTATTTCCCTAGGAAATAAAATCTTAAATCAGGAATTTTTTAGTTATTAAATTACATGTACTTTTTTATACGCCCGTTTTTTAAAAAAAGATAAAAATAGAAGAATGTGTTATAGGGACGATTTAATCATCATTTTATTGAGGGATTGTAAACACAAATGGTCATTATTTAATGACTACGGCTGTTGAACACATGTACTTTAGGTCAATATATGCAAGGTCAAGGTCACTAAAGATGGTGAAATATCCAGATTTTGTCTGGAACATATCTCCTACATGTTTTGTATGGAAGGAATTTTTATAATACTTTAATGGAAATGTTCACCACCATGATATGTATTGCTCCATGCAATGATCCAGGTCTCCAAAGGTCAAAAAGGCCCCAAGGTCACCCACTTAGAGCCTCCATTGAAAAACGCTTGTCCGGAAGCCAAAACTTCTACATTCATAGGGGGTTTACAAATATAACTTGGCACAAATGTTCACCATTGTGAGGCTGAGTGTCGCATGCAAAATTCAGATCCCTGCGGCCAAAGTCAAGGTTACACATAGAGGTCAAAGTTCAGATAAAAAAAATTTGAAAGATGGTTATAGGGACCATTTAGTCATCATTTATTGATGGATTGTAGCACAAATGGTAACCTAATCATGACTACAGGTGTTACACATTTAATTTAGGTTAATATTTGCAAGGTCAAGGTCACTGGAGATGATTAAATATCCAGATGCTGTCCGGAGCATATTTTCTACATGCATGGAGGAATTTTTTTAATGTTACTTTTATAGAATTGTTCACCACCATGAGACGTAGTGCCCTGCACATAAACCAAGTCTCTAGGTCAAAGGTTGAAGGTCACAGTTAGAGCTCATAGAAAAAAAAACTTGTCTGGAGCAAAACTTCTACATGCATAAGAGGGATTTCAATATAATTTGGCACAAATGTTCATCATTGTGAGGCTGAGTCCCTGCGACCAAGGTCAAGGTCACACATTCTGTGCATATCTTCCCTATTGATTTGTTTTAAGATTCATTTAACAACACAGTGCCAAGAATAAAAACTTGCTTGCTAGATAACACTTATCCATAATGCCCCCATCTCCATCTAAAGCTTTTTCGTAAACGGGCGTATTTTGTTACTATGGCACCCTTGTTCTGAGATGATTACATTTAACTGAACATCGGGCCTAATGCACCGTGAAGTTAAACGGTTAAAATGTGTTTGCACAAGAAAATTTTATATTTGAGCTGTTATAACACTGTGACGTAACGCATACACAAGCTGATTATAATCTTCATTTGCATGTTAAAATTCGTATACGAACTTTAGTGTTACCGTGGGGTTTTCCGTTTAAAATCCTAATTTATGAACAATAATTGATGATATTTACAACAATACTGTTAAACAGGTTAATGATACTGTAAAATGCTTGATTTTTAGGTCGTTGGCAAAATAGTTTTACATATTAATTTAATGTAACTTTAAATTGTTCATTATTAAAATTGGATTGAATTTCTAATAAGTGTTTAATGTATTTTTGCTCAGTTATTTCCCTTTTAAGACTGTTTAGATTAATATGCTATTCACCACTGGGAAAAGAGAGAATGTTGTCCACTGACAGGTCTTGTTATATTTTTTCAGAATTTTTTTACAAACCATTGTTAATATAAACACGAGAATTTTTTATTTATGTAATTGAACTAACAGGCAGGCAGAGCTTCAGCGTCATCAGGAGATGTTGGAGAGAGATATACAAAGTCGACTTCAGGAACAGAATGTACGAGCACAGGGTCTGGCATCTGCCTCAAAATCTCAACAGTAAGCTAAACAAGTTGTTTGGGCAGTGGGTTGGGGGGGATGGTTGTGGTGTTATCAGCAATCAGCAAGATAACACTGTTCTCTAAGATGATTTAAATATTGTCTCTGTTACATTAACATTGTAGAGAAATATTACAATTTTTACAAAAAAAAATTTAAAAAATTTCTCTTTGTATGTAGTATTTAAGAAATCATCAAATCATCTGAGACATTTGGACAGTCTCGATTGGCCCAGAGAGCTTGACACGAATTTGAACAATCAGCAATTTAGTTTGACCTTTGTCTAAAACAAATATGTTTTTAATAATCAAATGTCCATGATTACAAAAGCATATGTTTCTTTTACAGGTCAGCACGCCAGTTGATGTTTGAAGAAGGAGGTCACGGTAACACAGAAAATTTGCCACCACATGTGATATCACAGCTCCAAGCTTCCAGCAGTAAGCACCCGATGCAGCAACAACAGCATCAACAGCAACAACAACATCATCAACAACAGCAACAACATAACTTGTCTGCTGGGAACAAAAGTCTAAACTCCAGCAATAGAACACCAAATTCATTTGCAAACAGTAGTCAAGCGCAGTCCGTAGAGAGTTTTGATAGGGTAACTGATTTTATTTCTCTGAATATCACTTTAGTTACTTTGAAAACATAATTATAGAAAGGTATGTCTGTTATGAGTTACACATTTTTCTGAAAATACCCTTGTTTTATGTTTAACAATATTATCCCCCTTTATATTAAGATTTAAAAAAGAGTGATGAACTGCTCTATTTTTTGTGCCCAAAAACTTTCTAGGTGAAAAAGATATATAGTGAATAACCTTTTAATGTTAGAAAGTTCATTCCCCATATGTTTGGTTTTCAGACAATGAGTGGGGCACCATCTCCCACTGTGAACACTAGAGAAGCCATGAGGATTGTTATGGGAATGTTTAATACATCATTAGAAATGGGAAAAGCTACAAACTCAGATGATGTTCAAATGGATGAGTCAGAACCGCCAGCTCAAGCTGCAGGTAGAAGATTTTCCTATTTTTTTAACCAGTAATATTTGTTGTTTTCCTGCAATTCTGCATGTCACATCATGCTGTTGAAAGTTTCTGATAAATGTGTGTTGTGGTTAATGCTATCTGCTTAAGGAAATGTTGTTTTCATTTACGAAAAAAACATATGCTGCTGAGGAATTTTCAGATTTTTATACTTTTTGTAAATATTCTTTTATTACACTAGCAGTTATATCAGTGCATGTGTTTAGCTGAGCACTTTCTGCTTAATTTCCTAATATTGTTACTAAAATTGCCATATTTACCAATATTTACTGTTTTAAATTTAAAGTAGGGCATGTACATTTTAACAAATTCAGCAGAGGAAATTTATACAATTATTGATATATAAAACGTTTAGCTTATTAGTCAAATGTTAATTCACAGCTGGGGCAGGAAGTGGTCTCCCTTTCATGATTTATGATGAGTCTAAGGAACAAAAGAAAAAATCACCGCCAAAACCTTTTGCTGCACCTTTTACTGTATTTCATGATGAAAATAACAGGTAATAGTTTATTTTGTAAATTAGCAAAATTTATAGTCTGCCTGCTTAACTTGATCATGAGAGCATTAAATTTGTAATCCAGGCCCGAGGACCTCAGGCAAGACAAATTTTTCTATAACAATTTATCTCGGACATTGCGTCTAACTGTTATTTGTATCACATTTGATGATTCAAAAATTGTATGGGATAAGTAGATAGCTACTTGCAAAGAAATTGATGATTACTGGTTAGTTATCCAGGTCAACCAGTTAGTTGGATAGACTTGGATAGATCTGATAAAAAATTTGTTAAAATTGGCTTCAAACCAAACAAACAAGACAGAAGTATCTAATATATATAGAAGTATTTATAAGTAAATCTCGTAGGAAGCAAATAGATTTTTTAGGATTTCAAGGTAATGCTCAATCTGCCATTTGCTAAAATATTCTTAATTTAGCTTCAAAATACTGGACATATTTCAAAAACTTTATTACCTTAACACATTGTTTTCATTGAAAAGTGTTGCAATGCTTTTTATTTTAGTGTCACTTTCCACAGGAAAAATGGGTTGAGGGAATTATCTTGGGAATGATTTGAAAATTTGCACACAAGTTACTGGTCTAGAGATACATCAAATGGTATTTAAATTTCAAAGAAATGTTTCTAGTCCTTTCAAGTAAAAAAAAGCCCCCCTTAAAGTTTATTTCATGAAGGTGTATAATCATCTATAGATAGGAGATCTTTCATAAGCAAGTGATTGCTGACTAATGTCTGTTTGAATTTCTTCCCATTAGTTCTGTGACAAACACTTCCAACCAACATGCAAGTATGAAACATACTTTTAATCAACAGTCCAAGGGTACAACTTCTGAAAATGTGAGGGATACAAAGAGACAAACTTTGGTATGTACTAGTTTTGCATACATAAAATTGATGAATTATCTATGTTGTTGAAATATTGATTGATAAATGTGTTGTTGGTTATAGATAGATGTCTGTGGAATTTGCAGAAATTCGTTTAAGGCATTAAAGTTGCTGACTTTTAAACACTTGCACCTCACACCTGTATATTTAGAACCATTCAGGGACTTTGAAGGATTTTTCCATACAAGGAAGTTATCCAGCTAGCTTACAGAAAGGTGGTGGTTCTACTCAGATTCCTATTTGTGCAGGAGATAATGCACACCGGTCATTTGAGATTTTCCTCCAACAGTTAAGCTGGAAAGGCGCAATATGACATTTTTAATGAATGTGTGATTTAAAAACCCAAAGAAATTTGACCACCTGTTGAAATTCATCAAAATTGCTCAAGCCACTTGTAATGAGTTCTATGAGAACTATGATTTTGTGAGAAAAGATTCCGAATTTCTAGCTCGACTATTCAAAGAATAGGGAGAGCTATTGTACTCACCCAGGCATCCACATGGCACTTGGTTAAGGTTTTGCATGCAAGTTGGTATCTCCAAAACTACTGAAGAGAATGGGTTGACACACTTATTTCTGAACATAATAGGTCACTGTCCAAACTCTAACCTGGATTTTGACAAAATTAATTATGGCCCTTTTTGAACTTAGAAAATTCTACATTATCAGGCTCATGTGTTACTATCAAACACAGAAAATAGTCGAGCACGCTGTCTTATGTCAAACTTACATGCATTTATATTCATGCTTGTATCATTGTTAAAGATTTTCTGTTTGTTATACAGCCCCTGTTTGATGATGAGAATTTTGATGGAATAGAGTCACATCCTAGAGATGACATCACACTAGCACCTATAGGTTCTCACCTGAGCTTTGCTGCTGCAGCCAAGATAGCCTCTACACCTTTTAACCCAAACTCATCAGGTAAAGTAGACAAAAAGAAAATTATTTTCATATATTTTAACTTCTTAAAAGTTAATTTCATTTACTGGAATTCTCATAGTGACCTAAATTGTTAGAAAGATGCAAATTGAGTTTAAAATCAGATGCTTTTTTGAATATTTTGAACATTTTATGTATAGTTTAAGTTCACTTTAAGTTCACTTGAATTTTTTTTTTGTTGTTGTTGTTGAAATTTAAGAACACTTATAACAGGATACTTGAGGCAGCATGCACAAAGTTACATTGACAATGGTAAGGTGAAATGGCAACTTAAGCATTTATTTGGTAGGTGCCAAAAAGACTGTTTTATTTCATCATGTGAGTTCCTGTGAAGATGACCATCAAAAAGCCTTCAGTTAGTCTATTTTTCTTTGTTTCGATACTGCTGTCATTCATATTGCTACACAATAAATTTGACATCATTTTCATATCAATATTTAAGGTGGAGCTCGTGTTTCTCCAAATCTTGATCTGAGCGACATAGAGATGCAGGAAGATAACATTAAACAGGAACCAGTGGAGCCCGCACCAGTACAGGGAACCAGTGCAGAGGAAATGGATCATCAAGAGAGTAATGACCAGACAGCCAGTAATTCTTCCTCAAACTCATTTAGGAAAAATCTTAGGTAAAATAATGACAAAATTTGCCATGTTTAAGGCAATTGCAAAAGTTTTCGAACCCCACTTTATGACCACTAAGTTTCTGTGACCAATCCACTATCACAACCAATTTTACGCGGAACAAAAATTTTTTTCTTATGTCAGTGGTCTCTATCAGAAATTTAGGTAAAATGTTGACACTATTGCACTTTAGACATTATTAAGTAACTTTGTATCAAGGACAATTTTAGGCATTTATTATGTTCCCATGGACACATAAAGGTACATTGCAGGATTTGTTTAGTGATGACATACTGGGAAGAATTTGTTTGACAGTGGAGCTGAGACAAGAAAGTTTCAGTTAATAAACGTTACCTATTTCAAAGTGAATTATACTTTGTTTGGTGTTGAATATTTCAGCCCAATAATGGAGGGTTCGTCGGAGGATTCCGGTGCTCACAGCAAGTCCAGTAATCTTCATCATACCACTTTAGAGTCACATCACATACAACCGAAGGTACGTCTTACACCGGTCTTGGACCAGTCTGAGGATACCAGGAGTCTTCTTCAAGCTCTAGATGACGGGAACCAGTCCACGCACGTTATTGATACAAGTGCTTACGTGGAACCAGAGATGGATGAGAAAACTGAACATTTGTTGTCAATGTCGGTGTGTATCGTGGATCCGAAAGACCCGTTCGACAGAGAGGATAGGGAAAAATTGTTGTTACATCTGAAAACGCCTCTTCACCATTATGATACCTATAATCAGCTTGATGAACATATGCCAAATATAAAGAAAGGAAATATTCTGTCATTAGGTAAATGGAAAGTTCTAGTACTGCTCATTTGCTAATTATTGGATGTTTTAGATTGCCATGATTTTTAATCTACTTTAATTAGATTTATTAACATTATCTCAGTTTGAATGTTTGAAATTCATTTGCATCTCATGCAAAAATATAATTACAGTATATTTACAGAGGATAGTAAGTGCATAACCAGTACTAATTTTATCCTATTTAACATACTATAACACTTTAAAACTAAATTTTCACTGACGAAAGAATGTACGTCTTACAATACACTTACTAAGCATAATCTTTTTTAGTTTAAATTATCATTTATTAATAAATTTAAACAAACATCCTAGGCAAAAGTGAACTTAAATATAAGGGAGCTTTAATGTGCACATTTTGTATATCAATGCATGTTTGAAACATTGTATTAAACATTGATTGTTTTAATAGGGTTGGAAGTGTATGAAGTGGTAGAGAAAATAGCTGAAGGAGGGTATGCGAAAATATTTATTGTTGAAGATAATGAACTTGACTTAGGAACTAGAATGATGGATTCTGACCTCCCTGTAAAATCTTCCCTTGCTATCAAGGTAAGAATTTATGTTTTAGAGTAATAGATTCATTTCACATGTCATTTACCTCCCCTTGCCACCATTTTGATTATTACCTCCCCTGGTCACCATTTTAAGGGGGCAGGGGACCTAAAAATGAACAATTTTGTATTTCAGTGTGACCAGAAACACAATTCCAAATATTTCAAAATCTGTTTCACAGGCAGATAACTAGTTGCACAGCATTATTCAATGATATATGACATATATTGAAGAAAATAATAGTTTGCATGCATTGCTCCTTCAAAAAATGACTGACAGTAATTTATATTTACCCCCACCCAGCCAAAATCACACCTAAACTATACCAATATGGGCAATCTTCATGAAGGTTTAGCATACTCCAGAATCCGCCCGATTCCTTTAAAAATATCACTAACACGCAGTGCAAGCTATGGCATTTTCAAAAATGACCAATAAAGTGTCTGTCATACGTTTAGATTTTTCACAAAATTTATCCGAAATTTCTTACTTGTTTGGCGCCAACTGTCAAAGCTTGATTTTTAACTTTTTCACCTCCATTCGGAGAGTCAGAAATACATACAAAGCTACCAAAATGCTTAGTTTCGGGTAAAAACCCAAAAATACTTCTCATTTCCTACACACAAACAAGAAAGAATTACAATGACAGAGAAATATCAGAAGTTATCCAGTACCTTCAAAACACCATGACTGAGTTATTAAAAAATTTGACCGGGGCAATCATTCGAATATGTCCCCTGCCCCCTTAATTATTACCTCTCCTGGTCACCATTTTGATTATTACTTCCCCAAGCCACTATTTTGGTCAATTTCAATATGCCCACTATATGCTTAAAGCCACTGGACTAAAATGAAAATAGAAAAATAAAATAAAATTTCAAGTAAACAGTAAATACTGGCTTAATTCGGTTTAATGTGTAAATCCATTATTATTGACATCTTTATTCAAGACAATGGTGTTTCTTCTTTGCATAATCTACTGCGTTTATGTTAAAATGTACAAGGTTAAAGAATTTTGATTTGTCCATCAATGCAATATAAATATAAATTAATGTGCTTTTACTAAATAACATTTCAGTAGTAAAAATGTTCAGCATATAAATTTGATTTTGTTATGTTTAAATGTACAGTGGTTTACAATTACATAATGTTAACTTTGTTAACCAAACTGGGTTATTGTAATGCCGAAGTCGGCGGGCAGGCGTCAACTTTTGGTTTCCGCTCAATAACTTAAGTTTGCTTTGGCCTATTGACACCAAACTTGGTGTGTAGGTAGCTTATATCAAGAGGCAGCTTGGGATTAGTCCCAGGTGTCTGTGATCAAGGTCAAGGTCACTGTTACTAAAAATAGAAATTCAGTTTCCGCTCAATAACTTGAGTTTGCTTTGGCCTATTGACACCAAACTTGGTGTATGGATAGCTTATATCAAGAAGCAGCTTGGGATTGCTACCCAGGTGTCTGTGATCAAGATCCAAGGTCACTGTTACTAAAAATAGAAATTCAGTTTCCGCTCAATAACTTGAGTTTGCTTTGGCCTATTCACACCAAACTTGGTGTATGGATAGGTTATATCAAGAGGCAGCTTGGGATTGCTACCCAGGTGTCTGTGATCAAGGTCACTGTTACTAAAAATAGAAATTCAGTTTCTGCTCAATAACTTGAGTTTGCTTTGGCTTATTGACACCAAACTTATATCAAGAGGCAGTTTGGGATTATTACCCAGGTGTCTGTGATCAAGGTCAAGGTCACTGTTACTAAAAATAGAAATTCAGTTTCTGCTCAATAACCTGAGTTTGCTTTGGCCTATTGACACCAAACTTGATGAATGGGTAGCTTATATCAAGAGGCAGCTTGGGATTGCTACCCAGGTGTCTGTGATCAAGGTTAATGTATTTAGTTTTCATGTTATAACTTTAGTTGCTTTGACCTTTTGACACCAAACTTGCTGAGTGGCAGCTTTGGATTGCCACTTAGATATCTGGGAGCAAGGTCAAGGTAATTTGCTTACAATAGAATTTTCAGCTTCTACTCAATAACTTCAGTGCACTTTGACCTATTGATTGCTGTCACATCAAAGCGTGGTTGTTGAAAACCTGGTTTTCGTCGCATTGCGGCGCTTCTTGTTTTTGTTTATGAATTGAAAAGATATGACAGTATCTGTTTGTTATCAAAATTGGTTCCAGAAAATAGCGTTTGTGTTCTTTTTGTATTATGTATTTTGAAATTATTAATCAGGGTGTTTACCATCATAAGATTTTCTGTGATGTGTTAGACCCAGGTCCAAAGCTGCAAGATTGAAGTCAGAGTCAGTGGTAAAAAAATGACAAATTTAGTGTCCATTCCATGAGGTCTTTATCTGTTATAATCTTTTACCAATTTCTATGTGTAGTGTTAGGTAGCATGTTTGTCCTATAGTTACTATTCTTGTTTAATTCAATCTATACTGTGCTGGCGGCAAATGAGAATTTAACCATGCAGCCAGTGAAGACAAGATCAGCCAACACATCTGTACTGTCAGATGAGCTGATCATGGTCTGCACAGTTTGCTATTCATTCAGCACGTTGTGTTGAAACTTTTCCTTAAATGATGAATGAAATCGTCCAGATTGATATATCGTCAAGTCTGTTTAATATATTGAACATTGTAATGGTTATATATTCATTGGTGGATTTATTCTATTAACGAATAATGTTAATGTTATTGTAATTTTAAATTGTAATGTTTACAGGTGGAAGAACCGGCACAGAAATGGGAATTTTATATCTGCAATGAGCTTTACAATAGACTCTCCAAACTGAATGATCCTGTTGATGTGGTATGTAATCTAAAGTGTGTCTTTTTTGTCTAGACCATTTAAGAGCAAGCAACAATAGAAGCAAACCTATGCCACCAGTATAGAGCCAGGTGGGCCTGCACTTCCCAATTGAAGTATTTTCATTCTGATATCCCTTTAACAACCAATGAACTTGTTATACCCCCACAAACGAAGTTTAGGGGGGGTATATAGGAGTCAGCTTATCGGTCGGTCGGTCGGTCGGTCGGTCCACATCATGGTTTCCGGACGATAACTAGAGTTTGGAATGAGGTATTGTAATCAAACTTGGTATATAGCAACCTTATGTGGAAACTCCGGTTGGTATTGCATTTGGACCCCCTGGGGTCAAGGTCAAGGTCACCGTTACTAAAAATAGAAAAATGGTTTCCGGACAATAACTAGAGTTAGGAATGAGATATTGTTATCAAACTTTGTGTATAGCAAGCTTATATGAAACCCTGGGTTGGTATTGCATTTAGGCCCCCTGGGGTCAAGGTCATGGTTACTAAAAATAGAAAAATGGTTTCCGGACAATAACTTGAGTTAGGAATGAGATATTGTTATCAAACTTGGTGTATAGCAAGCTTATATGAAGACCTGGGTTGGTATTGTATTTGGACCCCCTGGGGTCAAGGTCAAGGTCACCGTTACTAAAAATAGAAAAATGGTTTCCGGACAATAACTAGAGTTAGGAATGAGATATTGTTATCAAACTTTGTGTATAGCAAGCTTATATGAAGACCTGGGTTGGTATTGCATTTGGACCCCCTGGGGTCAAGGTCAAGGTCACCGTTACTAAAAATAGAAAAATGGTTTCCGGACAATAACTTGAGTTAGGAATGAGATATTGTAATCAAACTTGGTGTATAGCAAGCTTATATGAATGAGATATTATAATCAAACTTGGTGTATAGCAAGCTTATATGAAGACCTGGGTTGGTATTGTTTTTGGACCCCCTGGGGTCAAAGTCAAGGTCACCGTTACTAAAAATAGAAAAATGGTTTCCGGACAATAACTAGAGTTAGGAATGAGATATTGTTATCAAACTTGGTGTATAGCAAGCTTATATGAAGTCCTGGGTTGGTATTGCATTTTGACCCCCTGGAGGTCAAGGTCAAGGTCACCATTCCTAAAAATAGAAAAATGGTTTCCGGACAATAACTAGAGTTAGGAATGAGATATTGTAATCAAACTTTGTGAAAAGCAAGCTTATTTGGAGACCCCAGTTGGGATTACAATTAATTGAAATATTTCTTTGTACACAGTTGATAGTTTGTGTTGAAATTTTTCTTCAGACTACTTATTTTTCAAAAAGTTGCTGGTGGGGGTATTAATCACCTTCAGTGATAGGTCTAGTTGGAATTTAAAGTTCCTTGTACTGTATAATGAATCATACCTGTTATCATGCTTTACTTTCACCTCTTTACTTAGTGAAACTTAGGGTAAACTATTCTAAAAGTTTTTTGTTTTTTTTTTCATTCATGAAAAAATTTATTTGTGAAATCACAATTGAATTGTTTTTTTTTTCATTGAATTTATATAATATATACACCTACCCCAGAATTTAAACATATAAACCACTTAGTACTTGGAATGAGAACATTCATGCTGGGTAATATTTAAGCAAGTTTTATGAAATCACCAAAAAATGGTGAACATTTCTGCATTGCAAACTTTACCTCTTATATTGTTTGTGCATTGAGTATCTACTAAATATGCTTCCTTTTCCAACTCTCATCTGATATGAAGATCTGACAATAACAGGGTTTTCGTTTTTAGCCGATTGGCGATTCAAAACGTCTGTTAAAATCAGTTGTATTTTGAGTCTGTATCTCGACCCTTGGCAAAATCGGTTGTTTTCTTTGGAAACACTGTCTCCTTATCTCTGTTTATTTTTTATTGCTAACCTCTTTGAATTATTTGGAGAACTTGCTCATACAGAATGTTTTCTTGTTTATTACACCAGAGACCAAGTGTAATGCAGATAAATAATGGATATTTCTACAAGAATGGAAGTATCTTAGTGACAGAGTATCAGCCTAATGGAACTTTATTGGTATGCATGATATTTAAATCTGTATGATATTTCCAGTATTTCACTGTTAAAATTAACTTACACAATTTTGTTAAGATTTAAGCTTAGCTTTTGTATTTCTTGTGATTAAAGTAAATTTGTCCACTACCAACATTCTTTTTTCAAGAAATATTTTGTAAGAATATCCAGATTTTAAATTTGTATTATTTTTTACCAATATTTGAAGTATTTATGGAAAATGAACCCACTGTAGACCAATCCACTTTAACATGCTGTATTATGTTATTGAAAAAAAATGGTTTTACAAAATAATTCCATGTCAGTGACAAGACCACATGCAACCTAAAAGTTAAGTTTGTGCAGTTGTATCAGTGATACATTGAAATTTCAACATGCCATTTTGTAATTACTGTATTTTATGACTGTATCAATCAGTTTTACATGATTATTGTATGATTGTGGCAGGATCTGGTCAATTCATGTAAGAAGAAGAACCTTCAGTCCGATGCTATAATTCAACATTTGGAGCCTGTGATGGCTTATATGACAATAGAACTACTACATATAGTAGAGAACATACATAAATGTCACATTATACATGGTGATATCAAACCTGACAACTTTCTTGTACTTAAATTGTAAGTATCGACTTAATTTTATTATAGATTTGAAAATACAGATCTAATTTTAGTTTATAAGTATTTGCTTAATCATATCACAGGTTTATACCATATAAGTGTTGGCTTAATTTTATCGCAGGTTTATGAGTATGGACTTAATTTTATCATAGTCTTATAAGTATTGGCTTAATAATATCACAGATTATAAATATTGGCTTAATAATATCATTAATTACAAGTATTGGCTTAATAATATCACATATTTTAAATATTGGCTTAATAATATCATAAATTACAAGTATTGGCTTAATAATATCACAGATAATATATATTGGCTTAATAATATGTAATGGCTGAATGATATCACAGATAAAAAATTCTGACTTAATCACAGGTTTGAAAATCGCATAGGTTGCTGTAAATTTATGAATAAAGCCTGAATTTTGTTACAGATTTTGTACTTAATAACTCATATTTACTTTTGTTTTATCTAAATTTAGCAATGTTTGAATATTTTTTATCCTTTGTGTATACTATTTAGCCCACGATTACCAGTAAGCGATGATCCAATGGTTGTGTTTGGTGGTGCTAGCAGGTTTGTACAGCTGATAGACTTTGGACAGAGTATAGACATGACAAAATACCCGTCTGGTACCACGTTTCTCACCAAGGTAAACACACAGTGCTTTCAGTGTATCGAGATGAAGACCAACAGACCGTGGACATACCAGGTCAGTAGTGCTTTATCTGTCCTAGTGAACATATCAAAATATTTTTAAGTCATGAAGTGAGGCAAATTGGGAAAACACCTGTGGGTTTCAATGGTCATTTGGATTTTTTGTACATCATTTTTGGAAAATATGTTTTTTTGCAATGGGAATGAACTTGTTTTTGCAATGGGAATGGAAGAAAAAAAGCTGCAATAAGGTGTATCTTCTGCAAGTTTAAGAATCTTGCAACTATGTCAGAAATCTGTTTTAGACTAAGTTGCTTTTAGTGTGCAACTGATATATTGAAAATTTAGCTTAGAAAACAGGCCTGACAATGATTCATTATTATAGGTCTTTCCTGAATTTGTTGAAATTGCTTAATTGTTGTGTGTTATTGTAACCTTTGTGACTAAATTGCTTAATGCTATTAATTAGATTTATCATGATATCTACATTGTATGTCTATAATGTTATAGTTTTAAATAAGTAATACATCCACTTTATTGTTGTATACAATCTTGTGCTAACTTTTCATTTACCTTTCTTAATTTAACAGTATTTCTTCGAATGGTCATTATAATTGTATGTAATATATTTGTTTATGTAGTAAAAAATTTACATGTATATATTGTATGTTTCTGTGACAAACTGATAAACATTTTTTGACCAAGGTTCTTTTAGATACTAGATAGTTGATATTGATTGTAAAATGAAGGTGATTTATCAAAAACCAGTATAAATTGTTACAATGTAATTTGTATTTTGGAGTTCTGTCTGCTACGATCTTGAATTTTTGGTAACCTCTCCCACAGACTTTTGAATGCTACAAACAGAAAATAACATGCTCATGCCAGGCAGGGGATGTTTTTGGGGAAAATACTTTGTGAAGAGACCGGGTCAGATTTTGCTTCCCAAAATGTTCCCAAAAACAAGAATAGGTATACTGTAATTCAAAATGTCTTATGTTTATTACAGACGGACCTGTTTGGACTGGCTGGTACCATACATGTTATGGTGTTCAATCAATATATGAAAGTGTACCAGGAAGGAGGTGTCTGGAAAATGACATCAAAATTCACAAGGTAAGTTTCTATGAATAGTAAAAAATCTATATTTGTTTAGGATTTTGGACAACATTTTTACCATTTCCATCACTTGTCAACTATTTTGCTTGTAGTTTTGTCTAATGCATAACTGGAGTTTATCTTTACTGTAGACAGTGTTTTTTTCCATATATTTTTCAGGCGAATCTTGGGTGTTTTCCCCAGCCAAAAAATGCTATATATTCCCCTAGAAAAGTTATATTTTCCCATAAAATGTCTTGTGCATGTCTATCCAGAACGATGACTTGACAGCAGCTGTCTTAGATCAACTTGATGATAAATGTAATGGAGTGCTATAGACAGGCTATTGATCTAGCTTGTTAAATTGAAATTAATTTCAAAATTTGACTAAATATGTAGCTATGTTCCATCATACTCAGTTTTTGGTGTTTTGATTGAGGTTCTCCTTTCTTGCAATTCATTATGCTACATTTTCCCTTTCAGAAAGTCACAGGTTGTTTTGAAAATTTTAAAAAGTCACTCAGATTTTTATCATCTTCCTCTCCGTCCATTTGTATGGGGTTATTTTTTTCTGGCTGCACAAATCTGCCATTAAAACTTTATGTATTAATACCCTTATCTAGAACTAAAGATACTGGTATGCTAAAATATGTTTCTTAAACTGATGTGCTTGTAACCAGATTCATATGTGGCATCACATAATGTCTGTTATAAAATAATATTATTTTAATTCCCCAGAAATTGGAATACTACCTTGTGGAAGAAATTGTTTCACCAGTTACTTAATGTGCCAAGTAGTGATGATCTACCAGATTTAGCTGATCTGAGACACGAGTTTGAAAATTACTTTGTTAATGACCTGTTACAGAAATATAATACACAGTGTGGTTCGTTCAACCAAAATATTGCCAATTAGATGATACCAGTTGATGATGGTTGATTCCAAATTTATAGAAGGGAAAGTGAATGCTGTCTGAGATGGAATCCTTGACTCAAATTAATAGTGACTTACCATTCACACTAATGGAAATATTTTTACTTTGAGTTATTATATTTTTACTTTGAGTTATAATATTTTTGGCATAAAAATCATAACATTTTGACTTTCAGTAATTATATTTTTACTTTGAATTATTATATTTTTGGCATGGAATCATCACATTTTGACTTTCAGTGATCATATTTTGACTTGAACTTATTGCATTTTGACTTTCAGTTAATTATTATATTTTGACATAGAGTTATGATATCTTGATTTTCAGTTATTTATTTTGCCCTGGAATTGGGATATTTTGCTATTCAGTTATTACATTTTGTCTTTCAGTTATTATATTTTTGACTATGAATTATTGCATGTTCAAAATTTGAATTATTGAGGGTTTAAACTTCAATAAAGACATGATTGGATCTGATCTGACACAGAGATTATTCTGTATGGGTTATCCCTAACCATCACAAATCTGTCATTTGAATAGTTTTGATATTTTCAGTCTTCTGTTATTTTTAGGGGTGTCACAGTTAGAAAAAATGTTAACAGTTTTAACAGCAACCTAATAACCGTGTTAAACTTTTAACCAACTGTACTGATGAAATCCTTAGATTTTAACATTAACTATGCTGCTTTTAGACAAGATATGGTATCTTGTACTTATTTTGTTGTACTCAAAATGATTACAAAACAAACATATCCGAATACTGAGTAACTATTTTCTGCTAGGGTCATACCGTACTTGATCAGATCTGAAAAAATACATTGTTGAGGACAACTAAAATACTTCATCTTGTTATAAAAAATTAAAGTAAAATGATGACCTCAGTTACCGCTTATTAAATTTTCTAACCGGTTTATAACTAAAAACCGACTGTACCCATTTAAATGGATAAACATGACACCCCTATTTATTTTCATGAAGAACATGTCTGTCATTGCCAATTTATTGGTTTATATCTGGAATTGAAAAAAAAATCTCTCTTTTTTTCCAAAGTTGTTTACAAAACATTGAGATCATCACAATTCTGGTAAAGGTGATTATTGTTCAGAGATATGCAGTTTTTCATCTGTAAATAAAAAAAAGGTTTTTATACTTGAAATTAATAAAGATGGCCACCCAACATGAAAATTCAATTATGAGCCAAGCACTGCTAAAATTTCCAAATCCAATGATATGGGCCATGTCACAGAAAGAGAGGGGGTGGGGCTTAATCTTTACATAATGTATTATTTTTGAATTATTCCTTTGAACAAGTGTTCCTATTTTTTAAATGAGCAGGGTGTGTACACTAAAGATCTATATGTAAATAGCAGTTTAAACTGATGTTTTGTTAACACTCATCATGTGATTTTCCTGTTCAAACATTTCCTGAGCCAGAACAAGTTTTAAAATGCTTAAACTGGTCCCAAGTGTTTGAATAGGATTTAAGGGTTTGTTTATACAGGTAAATTAACCATATAAATTTTTACCTCCAGCCTAAGCACTTGAATGTTTTGATAAATCAGTTTTATGATCTTGATAGCACTAGATAATCAAGTATTCAAACACCCAAATAGATAGGAACATAAAGGAGAGTAGTATAAATCATTACGTTAACCAGGAAAAGAAAAGGAAAAAAAAACTTTTAGATTACCTTTTATTTTTTGCCAATGATTTAGATTTATGATAGATGTATTTTTTCTTCTTGAAAATGTCAAATTTTTTTTTTTAAGTAATTATTTTTGTCATGCCATTTCTGCATATTATTTGGAAAAAAATAATAATGCTATCATTTGATATAATTGATGTACAAAAAAAAACAGTGTGTAATGTTGCTACTGATGTTACTTAAACAGTGCTCTGAGTTACAGTATTTCTGATGTACTTTATCAATTATTCTTTTGTATACCAAACATGGTAATCAACAGAGTTGGTTCAAATGATTACCTTCCCCAATGTGTTCATACTTAATGTTGAAATCTACACTTTCCCAAATGTGTTCATGCTTACTTTTGAAATCTACACTTTCCCAAATGTGTTCATACTTAATGTTGAACTCTACACTTTCCCAAATGTGTCCATACTTTCTGTTGAACTCTACACTTTCCCAAATGTGTCCATACTTATGTTGAAATCTACACTTTCTCAAATATGTTAATATTTTCTGTTGAAATCTACACTTTCTCAAATGTGTTCATACTTAATGTTGAACTTTACACTTTCTTAAATGTGTTCATACTACTTTCAAATCTACACCTTCTTAAATGTGTTCATACTTTATGTTGAAAACTACAATTTCCCAAATGTGTTCACACTTTATGTGGAAATCAACACTTTCTTAAATGTGTTCATACTTTCTGTTGAAATCTACTTCCATAATTGTGTTCAATACTTCTTGTTTAGATCTACACTTTCCAAAATGTGTTCATAATTTCTATTGAATTCTACACTTAAATGTTTTCATAATAGACACGACTCAAGAAGTGTTTAAAAAACTATATTGTGTAATATTTCATGTACATTATTTACAATATTGTCTGTTGAAATCTACACTTTCCCAAATGTGTTCATACTTAACTTAGTGTTGAAGTGTGCCTTTTGATTTTTAAACCAGATGTGTTCAACTTTGATATTTGAATAGTGTTTTGAGTTTCAAATTGATTTTCACAATTTTTAGAAGAAAAAAAAATTGAACAATGTTTCTCACATCAAAGATGTTAATAATTGGTGTTAAAATGTACTCTTTATGTAATGTGTTCAATTTTGATGTACATAAAAAATAAAACTCTAAATTATTTTTATATAGATATATTCTAACAAATGTGTTCAGGTTTGATATGTAGATATACACTCTCTAATGTGTTCAGACATTGTGTTCCCCATTTTGTGTTCAAGTAGTTTAAATGACAATGACTCACACTCAAGCAGACTGTCTTCAAGTTTGAAGTTAAACTTGAATGTATTCTTTTGGAAATGTGTTCACTTTCAATCTAAAGATAATATGTTTTTTTTTTTATCAATTTATATTATTTGAAGAAATAAATACACCACCAAGTGTGTTCAAGTTTAAATGCTTAACCTTTTTAGTGTTAGTGACAATAATAAGTGACAATAATAATCTACCTGTGCCACTAGTGTATAGTTAGGCCTGTCTAAAAATCTGTGAGGCATGTAAGCTGTTGAATTTTAACATTTTCATATCAAAAACCCTTAAATTAATAATGGACCATTCCAAATTCAAAGCTGGACAAGTCCATTATACAAATTTAGCAAGGCAAAACCCTACCAAAATAATACAAAAATTGGTAACAAAAAGATCTTTGTAATGTTTTTTTTCCCTTCTAAATGAGATTGTTGAAACTGATAAGGCATTTATTTTTTTCAAAAGTGAAATAAATTGTGAAGACATTTGAATTTAGATATTTTTATATATACGGCTGACTATGAAAAATTAAAAAAGAATATTTTTGTTTCACTTGATGTACTGTATACTGGTATACATTGTATGCTTATATATTTATATTATGTTGGATATGCTTTCTATATTAAAAAGAGTGTGTATGTACATATTATGAGTTAACTTCCAGCATGTACTTGTGCATTCATTTAAAGTGTTGTCAATTGTGAAATTTTTGTACGAATTAGTGTATATTTGACAGAAATTTAGATGGGGGAAAAATCATTGTGATTGAAAACTTATACTTAATAAATAATTTTAGACTATAATAATTATTAAATAATAGATCTATATGTGACAAGGAAAAAAATACAAATTTAAACTTTTCTGCACATGGAAATTGCAATTTCTTATTTTTTTTTCATTTTTTTCATTTTATCATTTATAAACAGTGAGCTTTTTTAAGTTCCTTATTTTCTATCATTAAGAAAATGATCAATGAATAGTTTTTAGACATAAAACTTCCTTATTTGTGAATAATTGAATTTTCTGAAAATGTTAACAATTAAAAAAACATGTCAAATGTATTTTTTCATAAAAAAACAACAATACATGTACATGTTTTCAAGTATTGTTACAACAACAACAACAACTTTTATTTTACCACAATCAGTTTACAATAGTAACAACATTAAACAATATGTTTTAAAGAGTATGTGGGTTTAACTTAGAACTAAGTATGATGGACAATAAGAATATATTATGAAAATGATGATGTAGATTTTTGTAGTGCTTTCTTTATGTGTTCTTTAACTTTCTATACTCTCCTGATTTAACATTTTGTCTGTTCGTCTGTGTGTGTTTTCATATATTATGAAAATGATGATGTAGATTTTTGTAGTGCTTTCTTATGTGTTCTTTATTTTGTATACTCCTGATTTAACATTTTGTCTGTTCGTCTGTGTGTGTGTCTGTCTGTTTTGAATGAATGTTTATGTATTTAATTTTTGTGTATCTTTATAGTATTATGCATATATAATTTATTAAAAGATCAAAAAAAGAAATTAACCTTTTTTACTACTGTAGTGTCAGTGTATTCATGTTTTGTGTAAATTGTAATGATTTTTTTTTCTGACTGGATAAATACACACACAAAAACTAGTAAAATGTGATTTGTTTATTTATATCTTTATAGAAAAATGTGCCTTCCCCAGGTAGGTATATGATGTATAAAATCTACATGACAATATGATTATACATGAATAACTATGGATGAAAATTTCTGATAGAACTGATATGCCCTTTTAAGTGTACATGTTTATTAATATTTTTAAGTTAAAAAGCAAACTTATATTTTAATGCTTTACTATATATTAAGAAAAGGAACAAAAAAACCCAAGCTAAAAAAACTGATAATATATAATTACAATACATGTACAAGGTTAAAAATCGCAGGGAGTTAGTGAGAGCTCATTATAAAGATACAAATGTTAGGATATATTTATGAAATGAATTGATGTCCCCACCAAGAAATTATTGTCTTTCTTACAGTCACCAGGGTCTTTCAAATATTTGAAAGACCCTGCAGTCACTGATAAATAACGTAGAAAAAACATGTCTACAGCACAATTTGTATACTAGAATTAACACCCTTGTCCAACACAACTAGAAACTTTGAATTACAAATCGCATGACGCAGCTAAAAAACGAAATCACTGCCTAAGAACTTCACGGAAATGCTTAAATTGCCCTTCACAACACAAATTTTAGTTAAAAATCCGAAATTACTATCCCCGTCCCCCGTAGAGCTCAAAAAGCAAGAATGACTGCTCCTACGTGCAACTTAGCCTGCAATGTAAGTGTAATGTCTGAAGTTATTTTTTGTCAAAATACCCTACCCCCCACCCCCCCCCCCCCGAATATACTCGAATATTTGAAATTGCTTTCCCTATAATGTACAATATCTAAATAATCGTAAGTACATGGAATTATAGATAATTCTACTCGGTCCTTAAGCACAAGTACATGTATAAAATACTGTTTGTCACTGTTCCCATTAACCCCTTTTAATACAACTAAAATATAAACAATAAAATAACAACACTATCGGTCCCAATTTTGTCACACAGACCACTTTAAATACCGGAATTTAAAGCGTACCAAACGACCTATAAAAATTCGAATATTAGAAATAACTTAACTCCCCATCCCCCACACACCTCCAACAGCACCCCCCACCTCTAACAGCATAACTTATTAAATAAAAAAAGTTGTAATAATGAATTAGATAACTTATAAATAACCCTAATACAGGGAACAAGGATTTCCTTGAACATGGTAATGACGGCACACAAGCAGACGAAAAAGGGGACATCTGTAAATATAAGTGCTTAAAAATTAAAAACGTAGAGGGTATTTATAAACGATGACGGGCAATTCAGGAACGTATATTATAATATACATCCCTACATGTAAGTTTTTTGTTTTGTTTTGTTTTTCTTTTTTTTTGTATATTGTGTTCCGTCTTTGTTGCATTTTTCCTCGTTTAGATATTTTGAAATCCGACTTTAAAAGGTATGTGGGGAAAAAAAACGATATCATGATAAAACTTGTATTGTATTTTGCAGATAAAAAGTTTTATCTTAATTCTTAAGGTCAAAGATTAAGAGACCAAATCATGATTTTCCCAAATTCAGCGTTTAACTGATGTTTCTTATCTAAAGACGTGCCGTTTAGTATTTGAAATTATTCTTACAATATATTAATACTCTAACATAAATCAGATTTGTAAACCTAGCGTTTAAATATAGGTAAAAAAAAGACTGTTAAAGAAGTAAATGGCCTTTAAATCTTGATAATCTTAAGCTCTTGAAATATATGGTTTCCGTAATATGCTTTTTATATTGATCTTATTCGAGATTTCCCTAAATTAAGATTTATTTTCTAAAGTCGTTGTATTTGTGACGTAGTGAATTCAATACAAACATTGATTTATGAAATTAACTTCATTTGATATACCTGTACATGTATATACTTGGTTATATCAGTAAATATTATGTTGTTATGTGCTTAAAAATCGTTCGAACAAAATGTACACGGCATTTAAAGTAATGTCGAACTGAGCCGCGTTAAATGACCTTTGAACCGAACAATGATTTGTTTTAATGTGTGAAAGTTTAATATTTCAAAACAGCAGACGTTACGCACTTGATGTTCGGTATTTGTTGTTGAAGTCATTGTTTAAACTCGTTTAATAATATAATATGATGTGTCATTTATTTTTTTATTCATGAATGATTTAGTACATGTATACATACTAGTTAACATTAATAATAACTAAACTGTATATAAACATATAAAGAGCGGCCGCGCTTGTGATGCATTTCTATAAATCCAATACAAAACCAAATTTGTAAGGAATATATTTCTAGTGACAGATACCCGATAATGCCAGGATATTCTAAAGGAATTTTTATCCAATAATCAAGAACGCTAATATGTTAGTGCCGCTACCTGTTGTTCGGGACCAATTGATCAGGATATATTTTTACCTGTACACCGGCTGAGGTGTGACAAATAAATAGAAGTGGAGTAAATCACTATATATGTGGAATAAAGTGTATACATGTTTATTTTTTTCCCTTTCAGAATGGATAAAACATGGATAGTAATGATTAAAAATGGATATATATAAATGAGCGGAATTTCCGTAGAAGGGAATTCTTATTTTCTCGGAGCGGGGGATATGCCTCCAGGAGTGTATGTTGATCTTTTTATGGAAGCATGTCTCCGACTATGTGGAAAGTAAGAATTTATTGGATTTTCTTTAAGAAATACTAGCACATGTCACGACTTGCATAATACTACTTATATGTATTTTGAAATATTATAATATAAATTGTATTACAATTTAAAATATCTTTATATACTGGTTAAGTAATTATATTATACAGTAGTTGTTAATAACTTTTACCGATAAAAAGTTTGCTTTGAGTAACATATTGATATTGTACCCTTTATAAAATAGATATAGATCATATATGTTTCTAAAAAAGAAAGAAAAATGTTACAGTTAGGTGATTTTTTTTTGTGTGAAAAATATATAATATAACTTGTGTATATATAGAATGTTAACTTGTGAGCAATTTGACAGGCTACGTTATAGTTACAGTTTAACAAGCTTCATTGACCTTTGACTCTATTTCTTATTCAAATATTTATTTACTGTCGAAATGGGCTAGTTTTTCGTCGGTATTTCATAGGTATTATGTTCAGTTATAATGAACTAATAATACATTCTAATGTCAGGTTTAGAATTTCAAATTCGTTGTATATAACTCACAATCCCGAGTATCTTAATAATAATAACTCTGATATATGAACTTCTCTTATTTCTATTTCACAGTTGATTAAAAAAAGTGTTTATAGAATTGAAAGGTAAATAAAAAAAAAGATTAAAAAAATCGGAAAAAAAGATATAAAAAAATCCAAAGATAAAAAATCGGTCAACTGGTTTACATAAATTAATAGTAGGTTGTAATACATGTATGTAGTATAATACTGTTCCATGTATAGGCCTACTCATAAAAAAGGTAATGTAATAAAAAAAACACACACACACACTGAACAAAACCAAGAAAAGAAATGAAAAAGAAACCAAATCAAACATAAAATGTTGAAAACAACGATGACTTAGTCGTTAAACACTGTGCAGCAGTGTCTGCCATTTAACCCAGGGATCGTACATGGGTTTCAGACCCAACTGAGTTGGCTACCTTGTTTCATCAGTCATTTGACACCAGATTACTACATGTATACAGCGATATAAAAATTATTTATATCATATGTTGTTTATCTTTACATAGATATTTTCAAGAATTGTATAAACACACAAAACTTGTATACTATTTCAGCTGGCAAAACAATCGTGAATGTTATATCAAATCTTGATTGTGACTTTAAGAAAATCAAAACATTTTTAAAATGTACATGTACGTCCGTGTTTACTACTCATAAAACAAAACCACAGACAGACCAACGTTTGTTTGATAAAAACGGGGAAATAATGAGTATCTTATGCAAAATGCCAGGAGGTTTTACGCATTAATATCGTATATGTGTTATCTTTAACGCATAAATATCATGTATGCGTTATATTTTACGCATTATTTATATTTTATGTGTTAATGTTGCACAATAATAAAAATGTGTTACGCATTAATATCATGTATATATTATGTGTGTTGTATGTAAAACAACATTAATATCATAATAGATTATTAATATTATGTTACATAATTTTATTACACATCGATATCGCATTTATATATATTATATACATGTATACATTATACCCGATCAACAGACGTAAACGTTATTTGACAGCACCACGTTTATTTTTTACAAAGGCGACCAAAATATTGGTATTTGTTAATAGAAATGTAAACGACATGCATATATATTACATAACTATATGAAATATTAACTCATATTACTATATACATTATCTGATTCCCATATGGTCAAATCATCTGAGAAAAGTGTTAAAACAGGTAAAGTTTCCCTAATTTACGTCAAAATGACGTCTTTCCCCTGACACGCAGAATGTAAACATTGGCACGTTCAGCTGATACGGTGAATAATGGATAAGGTTTGATTCATCCTTGTTCAGAACTGAAATAAACCCAAAACCCAAACTTGAATGGCCGAAATGGCATGTCATGTTCTTGCAAGAGACAGGTCAAGGTCAGGTCGTGCCTAAAATTCTGAATTAGGACCACGTAATTTCTTTGGTGATAAATTGATTGTCAATGTATATCAGTGTGTGAATTTCATAGTTAAATAACATAATAAGGAGTGTTTTTACCGGGCTTCCGTAGTAGTTGAACTGGAATATTCGCCGTCTTTTGCGGAAGAGTGAAAAGGTTCTTTCTTTGAATTACTCGTCCATACACGCACGCTGACGTACGCTGTTAGTTTAAATTCAGCAAGTGTCGTTGATTTGTTTCCTATAAGAATCGAAGCTATCTGATTTTATTAAAAATAATGGTTGTACCGTAAATAATGAAAGGCAAAACTGGGCCCTCCTCTGCTAGCATACCTTGGAGTCGCCATTTGACATTAATAGGGACGAAAGTGTGAAAGTTGAAAGTAACCTTATAGTTGCAGCTCAGTTGATTATATAGTCAAATATAGTAAGTACTTCAGGTGCGACGAAACATTTTTATGTTCTTTTACCAAACACTGCCAGGTATCTTTTGCTATGCACATCAAAATATGATAATCATGTGCATGTATTTGATTGTGTGCCTATCTCATACATCTATGTATTTCTCTCTGCTTATTGCATCTTTAATTTCTACCAATCGTACTCTATCAGGTCATGTATTGGATAATCATTGCCCACACTAATTATGTAGACCTTTTTTATTTTGCTTCTTGCATACAATATCAAGTTTGTTATTATTTTTGTCATTACATTCAAATCATGCACTGCACGCAGGCAACTATGTATGTATTTCATTTTATTTAGCCGAATAACGTTTGCCCATTTTGCCCACTGCACATTAGTAGTAGCTCTTACCCAGATAATCATTATTCGAATTGTATATTGTAAAAGTGACTAAGCTGTTGAAATAACATTCATTATTGTAATGGTTAAATATGGAATATATAGTAAACCCATGTTATCCAGGCTTAACCGTTCCGACCCACAGGCCTATATTTCATTTACTGACTAACCATTTGTCAAAACGTGTGTATATCGAACAACTGAAAGCTGTTGTTAAATCAGTGAAACTGTTAGACAATATAAGAAATTTTTTCGGCCGTACGTTCATAAATCCAGGGGTTTATGAATTATATTAAGCTATTAATTAATGAAACAACAATAAAAAAGGAACCAAAAAAAATGAATTAATCAATAGGATTTTAAATGTCAGAAATGTTATTAACAATAATTCCTAACGGGTGAATAGGGAACGATCTGAGATAAGCATCGTTTACGTCACTGATAAGAGACCTGTTCTAAAAATAGCCACACATCGATAACTTTCGGACAAGGAAACTGGTTAATCTACATGTAGATTATACAACATGAAATGGTTACCAATACTTTTAATCACATTTCTTTCAATGGAAATGATGTTCCTGGGGTTAAACTTGCGTAAAGCATGATTGAGATGGTTTAAAACCATCAGGAAAAAAAGATGATATGGTGAAAAAGAAATAACTTTCGGGGCAATACTTTCCCTGCATGTCAATTTGAGAAAAATGCCGGCGCTTGGCAATTTGTTTTTGTTTCACTGTTTATCAAAATTAGAAATGGTGATATGATATGGTATGATTTTAAGAAATTGGGACTAAAAATGAAAAAGTATCTTTCTGTCCCAGATATACCGTACAAAATTTTGTTTATATGTAAAATACGCAGATTGGAGAAGTCATGAATCTATCCACCAAAGTGCTACGAGTATTATATTAATGACTATAATATCTTAAATTAATTCTTTAATAATTTTAGAATACGCAAAACTCTGCGTTTTTCCTATTTTACCTAATAAAAAATGCCGATTCTAGTAGTTACTTTATCAGAAATAATGTATACGTACATGCATGCTTGCATGTATATTTAAACTGAATTGACAATTGAGGTCCGTGATTTAACATACACTGTTTACGTATAGACAATAAAATACATTTGTTTTTTATTTTATGTCTCACACAAAATATTTGTTGTTAAAATCATCGCCAATTTAGAATTACTGGTGCATTTTGTAAACTTCGCCTCATCAATCAAAAAGAGTCAAACTTTTTTTCTGCCTGAATGACAAAAACCGTTTTATTGACAAATATAGAGGCCAGAGCAGATTGTGACATATGTTTAAATTGAACTTTTCAAAAGTACAGTGTGTAATATAGTTGTCCCTTTTCTTTTCACACTGAATTCCATTTCCAACTTGTTTGCATTCTACAATTTCTTAAAATATTGCATGTAAACAAAGTAAATATACGCTGATTAACATCATGTATAGTGTGAACTCCCTAATCCCTTGTCCGAAAGTCAGTACAGGTGATGTAGTGGTGATAAGGTAAAATCTATTTTTAGAACAGTGTTACCTTCAGATCGAAGGCTATTGGTTTTTGTCATGCTAGTTCAAGTATAACCACAACCAGGTACGTATATACGTACCTGCCACAACAGACAAGAAAGGCAGCAATTCAATTATTTTCGCGATTTATGTCAGTCAATATATTGGAACCACCTCCTTGCCCTTCCCTGGCAATAACGGTTACTTGGACTTTTTGATTTTCAAACTCCTGGTATAGGGCCCGCCCTGTGGAAGCATTTCACATATTCCTCTTTTTTTGGCGCCAAAACAGAACCACGCAGAATATGACGAAAGACGAAAAGTCAAACATCGGCGTAATCCCCGGTGGTTGGGTGTGATAACTGACGCTTTCGCTTGGCTACTCTAATATGATATTTTTCCATGGTGTAGAAATGAATTTCTCTGGAGAATTATGTTACCACCCAGTGAACTATAAATGTCACTCTTTAATTGGTTCACCTGTATGATCTTTAATGACAATAGATATTTGTGCGCGTTTTGAAACTGCATATATGAGCTAGGCAAAGTACATGTGCGATTACATAATTTTTGTCGGCAATTTTCGGCTCGACAGCTAAACTGTGATAACTGTAAGTCACAATTGACACTAGGTGTTGTAATTTAATGTGGTTCTCATCTTCAAGTAAATATAGTTTTGACAGATTTGGCGTGGGTCTATGCGAAATGTTCGGA